AATTATCGAAAATACAACTATATATTAAATCAAAAGTGTACATGAGAACAAAATCTAACTTCATTTCTACTTTCGTCTCCTTTCATCAACGTTTCTATTCTAAAATGCTAGGAAATTAAAATGGGTTGCAGACAGTCGACAATGCTATTATCATCATCATCATCATCATCATCATCATCATCATCATCATCATCTAGATAGCCAATCCTTATGATGGACTAATAAGTGCAGTCATCGAAGCTTATTGATGAATTTAATACAAAATCAACACCAGATACAATTTGAAATGAGGTGTCCTACGTGTATCCATTCAATAACTAGAAGAAATTGAAAGTTAGTAGATTTTTCCAGAGTACAATGAACATATAAAACTTAATCTAGTCGATTCAATTTTTTTTTATCCCGTTACCCTAGCATTAATTAGAAATAAGATTAATCACATTTAAAAAAAGATAAAATTTAATCATTCTTGATAAATATGGTTTAAGAATTTAAATTCTGTACAACGATAAAAAAATTCTTCTGAAAATTAATTTGTTTATTATTATATCAATAATATATTGGTAATTTTGTTTGTGTATATATTGCATTAATTAACTAGAATTATCTTTAGCATTTCTTTAAAAGAACTCCAGAATAAAAGGGGGGGGTGTTTTGGAAACGCACTCCTGTACTGTTGAATGAGGTCGATGACGGTGTACCGATTATCGATAATCCCATAATAATATTATAGATTTTTTGACCACAACACAAACAGATTCAACATTCTTAAAGCCTTCAGCAAAACGACAAAGAAAGAAATTGGAGGCTTTGGTTTTCTACTTTTCTTTTTATAAGTGTACGGATGATTTCGGTGGCACGTACTTAGAAAGCTTGTCATTGTTTGTTGGTTTACACGGATCACACACGCGATGAAATAAATAAATAAATAAATCCACCTGACTCACAATGCGATTCACGTACATTGCTTACAAATGGCCCACGTAATTTGGAAAAATAAACAGTATCATCAAATTGGAATGGGGGACAAGAGACATTAGACCTAACCTAACTAGGTGGCCAATAGGATTTTCCTTTTTGGGTAATTAATTAATATCCTTAGTTTTGTATTCTGAAATAAAATAACTTGTTAATCGTATAAACTCAATAAAGATTACAATTGTTTTTTCAAATTTGAAACTTGTATGTACATCATTTAATTTAATTAGAAAAAATATAGGTAGTAAAATTTGAATTCTTAATCGTTTTTTCAAAACTTTAATATCATATCAAATAATTATTTTTATTTAAAATTTTAAATTCTTAAATAAAAAAATAGGATAATATATGATTTTTATTATTTTTTAAGAGAAACTAACAAAATAAAGAAATCAAAATTTTAAATAAGTATTTAAATAAACTTATAATTTAGGAAAAATTAGCATACCCCAATTAAACATTACGAAAGATTTGTACTTAACTCTTCAACTTTTAAGTTACATATATATATATATATATATATATATATATATGCAAAAGTTCTATCTCGTTAAAAAATAATATAAATCATATCTCTCGTAAATATTTTTTTATTATCATTTTGACATAGTCAAATATAGTATCAAAGTTTTGATGACTAAACAATCACGAGTTTAAATATCATTACTACTATCTTTTCTTTTATGTAATTAAATACAAGGTAATGTTAAGTTTGTATAAGTTGAAAGCTTAAAATATTTTTACTTGAGAAAATATGTTAAAAAATAATATAAATCATGTCTTAAATCCTCGGATAATAGCTTAATTTTTTTTAATTAAGATGAATCTTTTGAGTTAAATATGATTTTTTGACACTATATTCTTCTAGCATGCAAACTAAACATTAGCAGCAAAAACCGTTTGAAGCTTCCATGAACATGGAAGAGTTTGCTCATTGCTTTAGATAAAAGGGAAGGTGCATGTATCATTACATTGTAAATTCACTAGCTCTTTCCTTGAAAAGGTGATATAGATGTTACAGTCGGTGTTAGTTGGTGGTTGTGTAGGAATTTAAGTCCAGACTTTAATTAGTTCTAGACTTCAGTGATAATATTATACGGGCAGGTTTGTGTCAATGTCAGCTGAGTCTGTGCTGCTCCAAATTAATATAATAGCAAGCAATCAAAATTAAGAAAAAAAGGTCTAAAGCACTAATAAAGTATCTTAGCCAAATTAATATATAACCATTGGACTGGTTGATAATTGGTGACAAATAAAGCATAGAACGCCCTAATATTGCTTATTAAATCGATCCTTTTCTTGATCTCTTCTGCTCCATTAAAGTTAATGCGTGTGCCACCATCCCAAACGCGTGGAAATGGGAGGTACAATCTTCGTACACAAAAAAAGTAGTAGGAAAATGATGTATAGTTTATAGTTCTATAAATAAATAAATGAGTTTATAACTTAAAAAAAAAATATTAAAAGAGAATGTGGATTCCAGGTGCCTACTAAGAAACGATCAAAAGCTATTCCTATCAGCATCAAACAAAACAAGACCAACCCCATAAATTTTGTGTGAGCAAAATATTACACACATTGAAGGATATATGGTTCCTGAGGGCACCAACGAATACACATCCTATCCTTTCATTAGCACATAAGGGGAAGGTGGGTAAATCACTAGATTTCTATGGAGGAGGGAGTTCTGACGTTGTCCAATCGGAAGCCAGTAATAAAAAGGACTCATAGACAGAAAAATTGCTAGTCGTCGTGCCAATTTGATGTGCCATAGGTGGGATTTTTTTGTTTATCAAATGGTGGCGTAAATATTGTTAATTAAGGATTGTTTAAGTTAAGCATTGTTTGGCATCATTTTTGTTTTTTGAAAAACCAAGTTAAAAAAAAAACTTGTTTGTTTGAATATTTTGTTTTGTTTTAGGAAAAAAACAACAACCAAACATAACTTGAATCTTTGGCCACCTAGTTAGGCTTTGCATTAATTTTTTTATTGATCCAATTTTAAGTAAAATTTGGCTTTCGATTTTTTTTTTTACTATTTTATGATTTTATAAATTATTCTTAAAAATTTTGAAATTGTCTTTGTATTTTTTTTTCCAATCAAATTTCACATTTATTGTATTTTTATGTTTTTTTTTGGACTGAAAATCAAATTCCTCTATGTAATTATAAAATGGATCACATGATGATTTTTTTTATAGAGATTTAATTGATAAATTATTTATATTTTTAGAGTGGAGAATTAAAGTTTAGAAAAAATAAAAAATATTTTTCATTAGTTGTGTTACTTAACGAAGGTAGACGAAAAGATTGATAAATGTATAAAACATCAGAATAATGAATAGGAAATCATTTTTTTAAAAAAAATAAAAATAAATGATAGAACCTGTATATACTTCAATAAGATAAAATGAAACCAACTCTTTGATTTAAAAAACAAAAGAACAAGAGGAACCTTAATTTGTAGCTTTGCGTTAAATTAATAAATGGTATCGGGTTCGAGTCTTTATATATGTAAAAAATAAAAGAAGAAGAGAATTGAGTTAAATTAATTTACTGGTCATATTCAATTTGATGTATCAAAAGGGCTCTACATCACTCATAAAAGTTGACTTAAGTGAAAGAGACTCTAATAATTTAAATAAATGATATCGGGTTCGAGTCTTTATATATGTAAAAAACTATCCGAATATATAACTGTTTCTATCTTGTCATTCGACGAATAACATTGAATTAGTTTGAATCTTTAAGCCTGTAATATCCTAGAGGATTAAAAAAACAATAAGACTCTACATCAATACCTAATAAATTAGAGATTGTGACACCAACTTCAGTGATTTAAAATAGCACTGGATTTTTCTTCCAACCTTAGGAAACAAAATAGAGAATTAAAAAAACAAAAAAGCTCTACATCAATACCTAATAAATTAGAGATTGTGACACAATCTTCAGTGATTTAATATAGCACTGGATTTTTCTTCTAACCTTAGGAAACAAAATAAGCTCTGTCAAACAAAAATTTGAAGAGCTACTCAATATGATCACGTAACAGACAATAGAAAGTGGTATTCATAAATTTAATAGAACAAATCCCACTACGGTGTATAGGTCACTTTCATCAATAAAGTTTTTATTTTCAAACCCTTGATCTTATTTACCCTGCTTTAACGATCAGCATATTCTGCGTTGACTCATTGTCAAACCGCCTCTGTTTCTTTCTATGGCTTCATTATTCAAACCACCCTTCATTTCTCAAAGATACTGATGAAATTTAACCAAAACCATAGTATTAAACTAAAATCTCAGCCACATGAATTAATTAGTAAGAAATTTCTCAGTGAATGAATTGCTCTATCATTTTGCAACCGCCTAAAACAAACGCACTAGCTAGAACATTCCGAAAGTACAACAAAATTTTGGGATGTGTCGGAAATGGTCTTGAAAGGAATTATGATTCTGATAATATAATTTTATATTACTCTCTCACCAAATCTGATTTTTCTTTTTAATTTGAGCTCAATTTCCAGCTTTTTTTAACTTGAGTTTAGATGAATGATTGCCCCCGCCAAAATGGATTGACTGGGCGTGGACTACTGTCTATAACATTTAAGTAAAAAAGATTTTTCACCAACTCAGAATATATATATATATATCAAGGTGTTGAGAAAAGATCATCCTCCACATTACGGTAACAGAAGGTACACTTGTGTTGTTCAAGGTGTTCCACTAGGATCACTAAGTTTGCTTAAATGAACCCAACGTGAAGATAAAAGCAGTTTTGCATGTTTCAGTGCATTACCCCATGGCCATGTAAGTGTGATTTGAAATTAATGTGAAAGGCGTGTGCCCACTTTGAAGCTTCGCACGATTACTGTCTTTTCACTTTATATCTCGACCCATCGATCCTTGTTCGTTATTATAAATAGCTGCTTCCTATCCACCTCAACCATCAACAACCAAGTCATATTTTCTCCTGGGAGAAAAAAAAAAACAATAAGAGTAGAGTGTACCGCCAACTAATTATGGGCTCAGTTGTAATCCCCATTCCAGATGGAGATCATCAGGAATTTACTGATCTCAGAAAGGAAAAGAGATTCCAAGTTTCTCTAAGTCCTGTCATTTCTTTTGTCCAGAAAAATAAGGACATCATAAGAAAAATCATTCACTGTATCAAAGTTGGAATTGCTCTGGTATTGGTTTCTCTTGTCTACTTCGTCGACTCTCTCTACAAGGAAGTTGGAGACGATAATGCCATGTGGGCTATAATGACTGTTGTGGTTATCTTTGAGTTCCATGCAGGTTGGTTGATATACTATATAGTATGAATTTGTTTAAACTCTAGTAATAATATTGCATGCTATGCTGTGTGTTTCTTACTTTTTCTTAACTTGATAACATATGCATTTCAGGGGCTACGCTTAGCAAGGGTTTCAATCGTGGAATTGGGACTGTTTTAGGAGGCGGATTGGGATGTTTAGCAGTAATTTTAGGTCAAAAAGTTGGTGGAATCGGCAACCCTTTTATCGTTGGAGTTTCTCTCTTTATTCTTGGTAAGGTTTTCAAGAAATTCAAAACAGCAATCAATAACAATAATAATAATTAAAAAAAAAACAAGAAGAAGCAAAACTTAAAGCTGAAATTGACGAATATTGTTGCAACAGTACTTAACATTGCTCTGATTTCTTTTTAACGATAAAATTTTTGAGGCCAGTAATTATAAATGTTCCCGACGTACCATTCTTCAGCGCAACATGCCAGCTACTTTATCCAAAAAAAAAAAATCCCAGTAAGGTCACTTGTTTGTTAAAAAAAGTTCCATGTAGGTCACTTGTTTCTTAAAAAATATGTTGTCTCTTTTCTTAGAGAATGAAAATATTTTATTCTTATCTCTTCATTGATTAGTATTAGGTCACCTGTTTGTGCATTCCATGTGTAAGGGAATGATAAAAGTGGTTTATGACACCTAAAAGTTACTTTAATTAATCACTAACTTTATCGATTTATTTATTAATTACTATGTAATATACATTATAATTAATAATCCTCGTGTGATCAAATTTTTTTTTCAGCCAGGTTTATTAGACTTTGAGATATAAAATACTCTTTTTTACTATATAATAATAATCAAATAAACTTGAATCACTAAACACTTATTGCTTATCAATTTCTCCCCTTGCTTTTATATGTAGGAAATAAAATAGGCCTTGGGTTCAAATTTGGCATAAATGCATATTTCCAAAGCTAATTAATTAGTTATCTTCTCAGTATAATTAAATCTCAACTTAGTTAAAATAACGATTGCACCCCACCTCCAACAAACTTAAACTAATGCAATTATAGTATTTTTAATGTCTAACAATTTTAGACTGGATACTCATGACTCAATTTTGATTGCGGATCAGGTGGGGCAGCAACTTATGCTAGACTGATTCCAAAGATTAAGAAGAGACATGACTATGGAGCAATGATTTTCATCCTCACATTCAATCTGGTTTCGGTATCCGGTTTACGTGAAGACAATGTCATGGAAATAGCCCGTGAACGTCTCACGATGATTGTTTTGGGCTTCGCCATCTGCATTTGCACCAACTTTTTAGTGTTTCCCATATGGGCTAGCGATGAGCTTCATAATTCTATGGTCTCCAAATTTGAATGCCTTGCAAGCTCCATCGAAGGTAGACAATTCAACAAATTAATTACGTATTGAATCAAATCGGCATATAACTTTTTTTGAACTTTGATTATTTGAACCATGCACACTGATCAAATTAACCGTACGTAAGTGCTCCTTTCATTTCAGTCTATGGATATACACGAGCGTGCACATATTCATGCCATGTCAAAATATAATAAGATTTCAGGATGTATATATTATATTTTATCCTTTCTGACAGTAAAAACTAGAAGCAGTAAGAATCTAAATTGTTTTGCAGGATGCATAGAGGAGTATTTCAGATTAGTCAGTGAAAAGGAGAACCAGTCAGTTCAGACGGTTGCTAGTAATTTCAGGAATTGCACATCAGTGCTAAACTCGAAGGCAAAGGATGAATCTTTGGTATGATATATTTCTTCTTTAATCCGTGGCATGGCAAATTTGAGCTATCCCAAAACATGGAGTTTTATTATTAAAAATGTATATACTGTGTGTTATAGGTAAATTTTGCAAAATGGGAGCCGTGGCATGGCAAATTTGGGCTATCCCACCCTTGGGAGAAGTACCAAAAGATTGGAGAGATTCTGAGAGAATTGGCTGGGACCATACTTTCACTTAAGGGTTCTCTTAATTCTCACAAAGAGGTGATATATACTACTAACTTTTTCTTTCAAGATTTCAATTTTTCTATTTAACTTTCAGAAATTTGTTTGACTTAAACCATTCAAACTGTGTTATTATATATAGCCCTTGCAAGCTTTGAGAGAGTCAATCAAAGAACCTTGTGAAGCAGCTGGATCATCACTTGCATCGACTCTGAGAGAGCTTGGAGAGAGCATCATGAAAATGAGAAGGTGCCAGCCAGAGCCTTGCATAGTGCCCAAGTTAAAATTAGCGAGACAAGAGCTTAGTCAGGTCATATCTCCTCTCAAACTAGGGAAAATTGATAGTGCTGAGGGACTTGCAGTAGCATGCTTTGTGTTCACACTAATGGAGGTGGTTGAGAAGCTGAAAGATTTAGCCAAGGAGGTGGAAGAGCTTGGAGAACTTGCCGGTTTCCATCAAAGCTAAATTTATAAAAGATTGATAAGATTGTGCACGACTATTTGCCAAATATATATATATATATATATATATATATATATGCTTAAGAAAGAGAAGCCTAAAAATTCCACCAAAAAAAAAAACCAGTCTTGTTGATAAATTATCTAAAGATAAAAGGGAATGATCAGCACTTGACAAGACTGGTAGAAATGCATATATCTTGTAAATTTAATCATAAATATAATTAATAGTTATGGCGATGCTAAATAATACGGATTTTATGATAATACAAGCAATATGTCAATTGTGAATACTAATTAGATTTTGATTCACACGGTAAAGTCAGTATAATTACATATACCATATTGTATTCGTGTATTACATCCTCAAACGTAAGCCGCCAATTTGGATGAAATCTGAGCCATTGAAGTAAAAAAGTTTTAGCTTACACCAACTCCAAAAGTGCAAATACAGCAAGGACTGCAGAGAAACTACTGCAAGATTTGTCATTTGAGGTTGTCACATCAACAAAAATAATTGGGTCATTTATCGAAAGCCAGATCCAAAAACTGTCCTCTAAACTCCAAAGTGAACAAAGATGCATGCAATGTAGCTTGGGTTGATGGAATCCGACCTTTTCAATTGCTAATTTTACGGCCCATGATCCATAGAAACCTGAGGCCATGTGCACTGTACCCAGACCCACTTGAAGTTTAAAACAAAACAATTTGATTCTGTTTCATTTGAAGTTTAAATGCAAAAACAAAAAACCGAACTAAAATATCAATTTTTATTCGGTTTTTAAATAAAAAATAAAAAGATACAAAAAAAAAAATGATTTTTTTGTGGTTTAATTTGGTTTTTGAAATTTTTGGTTCGGTTTAAACCGAAAACTATTTTTTAAAAAAATTAAAAGAATGAAAATAAATTGAAAAAATCAATGCATTAACATTATTATAGATATATGATTATTGATAGTGTTTTTGATCTATTATATTATTTTTAAACAAAAATAAAACAAATTGGTTTAAACTGAAAAAACCGGAGCTAAAAAATAAATATTTGGTTTTTAAATCAAAAAAATCAAATAATATTTCAATTGGAATTCGGTTTTTGTTTTTTTTAGATTAAATTAAACTGAAATTATTACAAACTGAATTGAAAAACAGAATAATATATGCAAGACAATCATTAGCTTTTGTTCTCCATAATTACACATCCCATTTATCCTTGCTCAAACGGCGGGAACTTGAAAGCCCAGTTAAGCAATGGTGGCAAAGACAGACAACCTGTGAACCAACGTTGAGTCAGTGACACTCATGACCCACCGAAACAAAAGATACCCCCTTTCCAGTTAAGAACTACTACTACCTGTCGGTGCACCACCCACATCTTCTCATATGAAAAGTATTAAATCTTTTTCCGGTTAGGCTTTGGTTGTAAAACGTTAAAAAGTGGGTAGCCTCTTTTCCCCCTTCAAAAATGTCAGAGCAGAAAACGAGACAAAAGCGGCCCCGAACAGGGCTAAAGAATATTGGTGGCATCATCTCAACCTCTTTTCTCATTCCAATTTTCCTAGTAGATCGCACTTGAGAATGGCCATGCTTCACTTGTTCTTCTTGAAGAATACCCAAGCCACTAACCTAGTTTCTGTCACCAATATATTATTGAAATTTGAAATTCTTCCGTATTTTTAAAATTTAAATGTTCATGATTCTAATACATGTTAAAAATAAAAATTATTTAATCTTTTTTTCTCAATTAATACGTATTTCGAAATTAGTGATCAGACTTGAGTCTTATGTTAATATAGCTATAAAATAGGACACACACAAAGGGACAAAAATCACTCGTTTCCTGTCTAACTTGATGGAGAACCCAATGAATCTAAAATAAAAAGTCCAAAGGAACTTCATTTCTGATCTCGATCAAGAGAAACAGAAACATGGGTTCTCTTCCAAAACTGGCACTCGTGATTGTTGGATTCTTTGGATGGTGCATCGTTACTAGAAGTGTTCCTGATACAAACGTGACAACTGTTCTCTGCAACTCCGGGACGTACTCGAAGGGTGACCCTTTTGGTATTAGTCTAGATTATGTTCTTGCAGAGATTGAGTCTGTCACCCCAACAAACAAGAACTATGACTACTACAACATCTCTCCTTATCCTAATGCTTTTGCCTATGGCCATGCTGCTTGTAATCAGAACCTCACAAGCTCGGACTGCACAACATGTCTTGGTGCTGCTAAAACAGCCATGTTTGCAACTTGTCAAAGCCGAATAGGGGCTCGTTCGGTGCTCCATGATTGTACAATTAGGTATGAGCAATATCCATTTACTGATTAATCAATTGGGCTATCAACAAGATGGGATTTTCTTTGTCTACCATGTTATCTATGTATCACAGAGTGTGTGTACAAACTTATCCATTTCAATGTTTTCTTCCTTATTTTGACTGATAAGGTTTTTGCTTGTTCATTCCTATCTCGTTTTATCATGCTGCATTCTTATTTAGTTATTTTGGTTGCTAACCATCCAATTTTGGATTCTTATCCACCATCAAGGATGTCTGGTTGTGCTTGAGTGAATGTCTCCGCGTTTTATCTTTGACAATTATGCAAATATGATTGACCAAAAATTGGCAGTGGCACCCACTGCTGTTCAATCAGAGGAGCTCGAGATTAAAGGGGAGCAAGCGAATGGATAGCTTCAAAAGAGCTGAAAAGACAGGCATGGTCCTCATCAATGCTTAAAATTCAACTCAAACCCTCAATTTCCTTCAATCAATCAGCTAACTGAAAAAGTGAAAAAAACGCGTTCCACTCGTAAATAGGTGCAAAATCCATTTTGCTCACCATGTACTTGTACACACCCACATACTGCGAATTGCGCATAATAAATTCACAGGGAGCACCTAATAGGGAATTGATAACGCATTGCCCCATTCTTTCGGTTCAAACGACTTACAAGTCGAGTTTTTCCATCAAGTAATGCAAGTCCGTGGGTTCGGCCAGCCGAACCCTTAATTTTAATAACTTTGTAGCTTAAGTTACGAGTTTTTCAATGCTTGTGTCAGGAAACCAACCCAACTTCAACTTTCAGGGGCACCGTATGGGAATAAAAGTCCCAAAACTAGCTTAGTATATACTCTGAGAATTTCCATGCCCTGAATTCTTTTCACTCTTTTAGAATGACTAATGCTGAAATTTCTGCTTCCAAGGGTATGTAAACTAAACAAAGCAGGAGAAATCTTACTGTTAAATTTCCAATATTTGCTCTGCGTATACATACAATGTACAAGTAGCCTCATAAGGATTTTTCTATTTTGGTTCCGTTCCAATGAATACACTTTGTGTAACAAAAAGAAAGGCACGCCTTTGTATACAGCTCTTCTCCACTGTCAATTTTGCCTTATCCACGATGCCCGTGAACTCTCCCTGATCATTCAGGCAACAAAAATCACCAAAAAAAATGGTATAGCTTAAATTTCGCCAAAGATTGCTGATGGCAATGGTGATTGATCAAATGGATGAGCTAGAAACGAATGCACCACAACCGACTCAGCAAATGATGATTTTCCCAATTGGTTTGAGGAAACGAAACTGCAACCTTTGATCTATGAACTGCTGTTCTTTAATCACGTTAGTCAAAACAGATAACTTCTTAAGCAGTCACAAAGGAGCTTGAGAAGATTCTGTTAAATTTTGTGCACGACCCAACTCCCTCTTGAGAAGAAGCACATAAAGAAGCTCATTCCAGGAATCAGGAACCCCAGGCAGGCACCAATGGCTGCAGTCTTGACGGTGTAGGGAAGCTGGACCTCTACTTGGTTCTAAATAGTACAAGGATGCATGGCCATCCTTCCTCCGTGCTGACATAATTGTAACATTCAACAAATGCAGGTTCATCACTTGTGATTCATTTGAGTGTTTTGATAACACATCAAAGAATATTTTGAATCGATAATCTGGTGAAATTAGCACTGAGCCTAAGTCAGGAAGCTTTTCCAAATGACAGCTACCACCAGTCTTCCAGTCGCCACCTCTGTTACATCAGCCAATTTATTAGATAGCACATACAAACATGCACACAATTTCATTTACAAGTATGCAAAGGGACTGCAATATTTTGGACCAAATGAATCATCCCAAGTAACTCATGAGTAGAAAAGTGTTAGCCCACATTCTAGCAAGGAACAAATTCATGTTTCCCTCATAATCAGAAAACTGCACCGATGATGAGATTCTGTTCAAAAACTTGAGACTAAAATCAAAGAGTACGTAAATGTATCAGCATTCGGGAAAAATCTAGCAGTTGAAATATTCGAGAAAGATTTACTTGTGAATATATTTTGAAATGTTCATAGCAGATGGAGTCCCAATGCAGAAATAAATAAAATAAAATAAAATAAAACAAGAGTTAAACCTGAAATGCACTGGAGCATAGGTTCGAAAGAAGACTTGAGTCTTGCTCATATTTACTTCAGTGTGCATCCAATCAATTAAAGTTTCAATTGATCTCCGATATGCAGTTTCAACGCTCATCTCCATCTTTACTTTCTCCCCTTCTTGGAAGTAGCAACCCCTAACAAATAATATAAAATCAAATATCAAATATCATTTCAACATAATAGCATGAACTGACCATAGCTTCCTAGCAACTTTAAGGCAGTTAATTCCTCAAATTAATCATATTCTGGTTTCTGTCCTTGCCTCTTCCTACATGAAGCGAGCACAAGTGCAAATCATGACCTTTTTTCCTTTATTTCAGCATCTCAACAGTGTAAAATGACAACTAGAACTGACAAAAGCATGCAACCAGAAGACTGTTACTATGATGGTATCATGCAATGAAATGCTAGCAGCAACAAGAAGATTGTGGCTTCATCGGAAGGGTACTAGCTGTGGGCGATTGTATCTGCGGTGTAATGAAAAGGAAATAGATAACTATCCTTTCACATTTTCCCCGTTTTGCCCATAAATCAAATTTAACCATTGGTTTGAATGCCATACTCAAATTGAAGGGTAAAAGCACATCCTATCTCACTGATAGCTCAATGCAGACAAGATACACTTTGGCTTAAAAGTGGTAAGAGCATTCATACAAGGGCCACCTGCTAGTTCATCATGCTTAACAAATAGAGAATAATCCTCCAATTGGGGTTGTGGCTTTCCATAATTCCATTCTAATCACCTGTGTTAAAGTTTGCTATAAGGACCAGTTGTATCAAATTCATATTTTGCCTTTACTTGATCCCTACTTATGTGCTCAACTTTCATAATATTCTGTTTACATCAACAAGACAACAAGGGCGCATGCCATCTCATACGTTCAAGCTCAATAGAAAGATACATGTTCCAGCAGACCCTGAAGTAAATATATGGTACTCAAAAGATCTATAATATCACCATGGATAATTTTTACCATATTCATGACTAAGAGAAATACATTCTCTTCTAGTCAACAAATAAAATACATCTACGTTTTGGGCTCTACCCCTCAGATTGAAACTCTTCATGTGAACAAACAAACCGTATGTACCTTTCTCCTTCTAAACTTGTCACATTAGGGCCTAAATTTCTACAATGTTGCAGATGTGTTTGCCACGTTAAACATGCTTTCATCTCCAAGTTAAACTGTGTATTCACAAGTATTTATTTCCCCACTATCTCCCCAAGTTGCTGAACTGAGAAAAAACACATCGCACATACAAGCAGGCCAGCTACAGAAAAAGGCTATATAAAGATTATCTTTGTGCTCATATGGTCTTATCCAAGTTCTATAGTGCCAAAAATAAAAAATTCGAGAGTTTGCACTCTTGCACACCCACAAAAGAACCAGGTCATTGGAATTAAGTCATCGGATAGCATGACTTACCCTCTACCACTCAGATTGAGACTACATGAACAAACAAGATGTATGTACCTTCCACCATATAAACTTGCCACTTTAGGCCTAAATTTCTATAATTGAGATGCATTTGCCACCTTAAACATGCTTTCCAAATTCCAACTTAAACCACATATTAATAACCATTTTTTTCCACTACATCCCCGAGCTGCTGAACCGATAATAAAATGCATCTGACATACAAGCAGACCAGCTGCAGTAAAAGGATATATAAAGATTATCTTTGAGCTCGTATTGTCTTATCCTAGTTCTATAGTGCAAAGTCAAAAATCAGAAAGTGTAAGATTGAGCATGTGTGCACAAGAACCAGCGCATGGGGATAAAGTGATCAGATAGGCTGTCTTTACTCTTTACCATCTAATGGTCTTATTTAAGCATATATGAAGACCAGTTATGCTAAAATGCTATAGATAGTTGTTTTGTCCCAGTATATTATGTTTTAGATTCAATGATGCTAAAAGTTGAAAATAGCTACATCCACGCTGCATATAAAGACATGAGGATCAGCTCTTGGGAACAAGTAATTAGATAGGTTAAACTTACCCTCTAATTGTCTTCTCATGATTCCACCAATGGCCAGAGTTAAAAATTAGCACATCTGCATCTTTCCACTTGGAAGAAGTCCAGTCCAATGTATCCACTCTTAAAGTCATCTTCACCTCTTTCGGAGCTCCAGCAGGGGGCCGCCCCTGTACCATTAGAAATGGAGCCCTATAATATTCAATGGTGCAATTATAGTCCTTGAACATGAACGCCAGAAACCCCCTGTGCTTTGTGATCGGGCTCCCATTCACCTCATAAATAGAAGAATTGTCAGGAACAGCAGCGGCAAGCATACAGAGGAGGGACTCCCATTGGTTCCTTCCAACTGAGTCTCCAACAAACACAAGCCTCCGGTTCCTCAGCTTTTCCAACATCAACCTTGCATCAAATCTGTTCTCAAGAAAAAAGAGAGAACCCCAGATAAGCTTTGCATCAGCTTTCACTTAATTCAGAAGCCAAACGCAACTTTCACTTATAGGTGAAGCTAATTACAGTTTGTTATAAAGCAAGTAGACTGCTTACTCCCAAAAAAAAAAAAAAAAGGAATAAAAACTCCAATTTGATATGGACAAAAACAGTTAACGGCAAGTCACTAAACAGAATTGAATTCACATGCTAATTTCCAGGAAAATCGCCATGGTATATCATTCATACAAACAAAATTAATAAATGCTTCAATTGCAAGACACCAAAAATTAGAAAAACCCTGCTTTCTACTCAACCTAATATACAGCTATATTCACTGAGCACCTTCAATCTGTAAGCAACCAAACACAACATAACAACTAAAGTAAAAACGACATTCAAATTGTTTGCTTCTCTTAATTCCACACTTCATCAGTAACTAACTCAAAAGTTTAAAAAAACAAATAAACGGAATCAAACAAAAGAATAGAAAAAGTAAAGAAACGAAAAGGAATACCTGGGCAAGTTGCAATTATTGGGTTGCCAACGCCACTTAGTATAGAAACTATCAGGCCTACCATTCTCTAAACACCTAAAACCATTGTCCATAAAGGAACAATCTTGACTCCGATACAAAGGATAATTATCATCCCAAACCCAGTTCCCATCAAAAACATCACACCAATCACCATCCTTATCAAGAAATCCTAGCCGTCCATTATCATTACCAGTCAACTCTGATGAAGAAGGTACAACAAGTCCAAGCCAGGAGACACCATGGTGGCGAAAGCCAAGAGTGACAGTCCTGTAATCCAAGTAAAAGAAGCAGCCAATGAAGAGAAGAGTGGCTAAAAAGAAGCCAAGAATGCCAAGGGAAGGCTCAAGAGGGTTCAATCTCTTGAACTTCTTGAAGAAATCTAAGTGGGTCATTGTATCTCGTGGAGTTGCAGAAGATGTGGTGCTGTTGCTGGACGTTGTTTTTTAAGAACAAAATTCATATGATGGATCAGTATATAGCTAACGTATGGTTTTCAAAGATAGTACAAAAGTTGTATTCTTTAAAAAGGGTGGGGTAGCATTATTACCAAAGAGAAAGAAAGCATTAATGGAAAAACCAGCTTACATTATGTACTTGTTCCCTGAAATAAAGAAATTGAAATCAGAGGAATTATTCAGTCGAAAAACCGAGTTGTTTTCTTTTTCTGGTTAAGGAAGGAAAGAAAATGAAATCAGAGAGGAATTATTTAAGACAGCAGTTACTATATTCCTCCTCTTTTCTGCGTTTTTATATTAAAAAAATATGAAACCTATAAATCATTACTGAGTTCCGTGTTTTTTGTGAAAAAAATAGAATATAATTTCTTACCTATCTAGTAATTTATCATCAAATCATCTATCCCATTATAATGGTTCCAAAATGAATAGATATTTAAAAACTTTTTAGCATACAGAAAAAAGGAAAATATAAAGAGCTATTTTAAGCTAAATCTACTATTTTCATCATGCATTTTTATAAATTTATTAAATCACGTGTTTTAAATTAAACATATATATTTCTAATTTAAGTATGATTTTTATATGTCAGATCGAATAAAAATATAATATATGTGTATAAATATCACATATAAATCTTACTTTATACAGTTATATTATTATTGTTTCTATTTGAATTAACATGTAAAATTATTAATTTTGCAAAATTATATTTAATTAATTAAAATTGAAAATATGCATATTTAATTAATAAAATACAAAATTTTATTTAACAGATTTATAAAAACACATGTTATAAATAATGGATTTAGCCATTTTTGGCTGTCGATGAATAACTTATCGAGCATTCAAAACGTTTCTGCTTTCTTTATTTACATACTTGGAGGTTGATGAGTAAGCAGATGCTAATAGTAAAATTTAATCTCATTTATTTTATTTGGTAAGCATTACAAAAGTAGAAATTTTATTTTATTTTTTTGATATTCTGTATCACATTATTATTTTTGTCTTTTGTATTAATAGTCAAGATTGTTCCCATTTAAGTTTTGCGTAGATTATTATAAATTCCCACCCATCTGGTAGTGCTTGTGGTCAGAAGTGGTTAGAAATACAAAAGACATTAATTTGGTTTTTGTTTTTTTTTTCAACTCACCTGCACTTCGAATTAACCATATTAAAAAACTCGCTCGGAAGTAACTTGCAAAGTTGTATTTGTTTGTTCTCCACTTGAACTGAATTTACCGAACAGATCCTAAATTTAGTTTCTTTGTAAGTAAAAGTTAGGAAAGGAAAGGACAGAAGAGAAACAAGTGAAGGACTTGGTGTGAATAGAGATAGAAGGGAGAGATTGTGCGGTTGGAGTGTGGCTTGGTAGTTGCTATCTGGGATCGTGTGATCGTGGTCGAAGAAAGTGGGAAATGCTTTTGCGTCCCGACAAGAATATTGCGTTGTGGTGTGTGGACATATTTCTTGAGTGGCAAATTTAACCTTTTTTACTATCAGTTTGCTCATTTGTAGGGACGCGTTTGGACTTTTTTGCATTGGACTGACGGAGAGTTTGAACGAGTGATTATTATTTAATGGGTTTGTTTGGCGGAATTTGGATCCATTTTCGAACGTGGTGCGGGTCCCGCTCGACATTTTGCAAATGTGGGTATGTACGGCGCTCAAAAAAAAAAAAAAAAAAAGGAAAAATCTTCGCTGCTCAATGAACCGAATCAAAGATAACAGAACATTAATTCTCAAATCATTGAAAAATTGGAATTTAAGTTTCAATTACTGAAAACTTTAATGGAAATCCTAAGCTCTTTTTGTGAAGGATTGAAAAGCATTTTTTCCCTTTTTTATAAAAATTAATTGAGTTTTATTAAAATTGTGGATTCATCGTTTTGTAACAAAAAAAAAATACTGTAAAGTTAACAAATCTTTCTATTAAAAGACAAAAAGTACCCAACAAATATCGCCAACCATCCAGGAGCCCGTATAGCATATTAATGGAATAGCTTGTAGAATATAAAAATAATTTAGATCTCGTGAATGCAGAAATTTTAAATCCGATTAAAAAGGGATTTAATCTCGATGCATGAAATCTGACCGTATAATTTTTTTATACTTAAATCCTAAAAAAAAAAACAAAAAAAAATAGTTTTAGCATAAAAATAAAAATTATTCATTCACCAAATATATACTAAAAAAAATTGTCTAATATGTCTTTTTATGATAAGATAAATGTCAATTTATCTTTATATTATAAACTAAACTAATCATGTCTTTATATTTCAATGAAGTTTCTAATTTATCTTTTCGAGTATTTTTTTTTATAAAATCATCAAAAAATTTCACGTAATTTATACATATTAATTTTATAATAAAAATGCTCTTAAGATGAATTGGCATGACAAACCACATGAATAACTTGTGTTTGAAATTTTAGTTTGTTTTGTTTAGTGAAAAGTGATGGGTTTGTAGTGCTAGACTCTGGTTCTGATAATTTAAAAAGTTTTTGAAGTCGTTGTGTCCAAAAAAAGAAAGAAAGTGGTGTGTTTGATGATGGCCAAAGGATGCGGGCTTGATTTTGACTAAAAAAAAAAAAAGTGAAGAATTTTGGTTTTTAAGGTATAGAGGTGTAAATCAGTATTTTAAGAGTTTGACTTTAGGAAAAAAGAAAAAAAGAATTTTTTGATAGGAGAAAAAAAGTGGCGGGGCTTGTTATTGGAGTGATTTTGGTCAGATTTTTGAAGGAGAGAGAAAGAAGAGGCAGAAGGGATGAAGGGGAAGAACAAGAAAAGATAGAAAAAAAAAGTTTTGTGCTTATCAGGTTACAACCCGAGAGCGAGAGGGAGGGAGGGTAGAGAAGGATTGGTGACTTGAAAGCATGTTTAAAATAAAATTAATTATAGACAAATCAAGTGATATTTTCTAATGATTTTATAAGGAAAAAAACACATGATAAATTAAAACCTCATGGATAGAAAAATAGCATGATTAACTTTATTTTAAAATATAAGAACAAATTAAACATTTATCCCATTAATTATGACTGGCTGAGCCATTTCCTAGATGTGCTGTATTCCCATTCCCATTGATGATGTGATTTTAGTTTGGCAACATATGAGAGAGAGAGACGCACGGAATCTACTCAATAATTTCAGAAGAACCAGTTTTTTGCCCTTTCCTGATACGACATGATTCTAATTTTTAATTTTCTTGTTTGGTGGCATCAACAACTGAGAATCTTGGGATCCTGCTTTGTGTCATCAGCATCCTAAGAGTTCCTAGCCTACAAGGATGGCATTGCTGCTCCATCCAGATGCGAGACAAAAAGAATCATTAAGGCAAGGACAAATTCAAATCAACAATAACACAAATTTGATTAAATCCACTCTTCCCAATAATTTTATTTCTCCATTGCCTTATTGGTGCGTCGAACTTTAGGGATTCAAAATCCATCTCATAAGTGCCTTCTCTTGAGCTGGGTCAGCATTTGTTGCTTTCCAACCTGTATCTCCACCTCCTTAATTGTTGACATTTGAGAAAGACATGTTATATCTAATCTCAAGTATGGACGTGAATAAATAAATTAAGGATGGCGTGTACTTTGCCAAAGTTAGGATGGGAAGACGCAAGGAGAAATGGAAATAATGATAAATTAAAAAAAAATACTAAATTTGAAATTATTTGAACTTGATTTGATCAAACAAGATATAATAAAAAAATAAAAATAAATAAAGGGTACATTTTAATTTGTATTTATCGGGGTTTGGGGATGAATAATTTTATAATACATCGAGAGTAATTAGTGACATGTATAGTAATTACTCAATGAGCCAACTTTAAGGAGAAAGATAAATAAAAAAATAAAATAAAATAAAAAATTTGAGTGAACGTGGAAATCTTCTTATCACTTTTGATGGATATAGATGTAATTTTTCTCTTTTTGTATCTATCTCTCTCCTCAAAGTGGACCTATGAAATAACTACCGTACATGTCAGTAATTACTTCGATGTATTATAAAATTTCTGATTTGGAGAGTTTTTCAATTTGTCTCTTTAAAACTTTGTTTGTTGCTTTCTTAGATTTTTATTAAAGTTTTCACTAAAATATATAATTTTTCTATGCTTTAATTGACTCTTTACAAAATTTAAAAAATTCAATCAAATGCTTATCTTTCAATCATAATAACATCTCGTCAAATTTTGAAAAAAAATAAAAACATATTATTATTGCAATGATAAAATATCACGTCATTATTTATTTATGACTTTTAATATGATTCCAAGAATTAATATAGACATTTCAATTACAATTTTGACAAAAATACATATAAAATATTAGTATTATAAATTTTACTATATTAAAATTTATATTTTACATAATAAACAAATATGTTTTGTTTCTTTTCTTGCTTTTTGAAAACTAGAATATAAAGGGATGACATCGGACTATGTTGATTTTTTCTATTATAACAAACTATGTTAACTTAGTACTACATCGTTATAGTTTCATTAAAACATGCAAGATCTATAGCTTGAATTTATATTTTTTTATTAGTTAAATGTTTATGAATTTGAAAATATAAGATAAAAAAATCCTAATTAAAAAAAAAGTTAACGTGATTGAAAAAGATGTGCTTAATTAAGATTTTTTAAAAAAATTAGAAAGTCAATTAAAACATAAAAAATATTATATCATTAGTTATATTAGTTTAATAGAAGGAAGACAAGAATAGAAACTTTGATAAAAATTTAGAAAGATAATCGATACAAGCAAATTTCAAGAGAAACATTAAGGTATCCCTCAAACCTCGTTAGGCAAATTAAAATGCACCAAAGGACAAACAAAACCCAGCACCCCATTATTTAGCTGCCACGTGGAGGAACAAAAAGACTCCTTACACGTGCTGCTTTGTAATTTGTGGAGTTCCACGAATCCGGCAATTTTTTAACATGGCCGGTGTACTTCTTCAACGTTTTGCATAAAATGTTTCCCTGACTTCCCATACGGCATTCCGCGTCTCTCTCGGGCCGACCTGACTTAAAGACTTTAGGACCTAAGGTCCGAAACAAACGCTAATGCAGTAATCCTTACTTTTATATTCTCTTGCTTGTAGAAAACAAAGTTCCATGGAAAGCAAACCATGCCCATGATTTCCAATGCTTCCACTTCGTATCCACCTTCTAGCAGAAATGAATAATTGACTCTTTAAATGTAAAATTACTACACCAAGAGCTTCTTCATAATATCGTATTCCTTTTATTTATTAGCACTACTCTTGTGTTGTTTTTTTTGAATTTCGACAGTAAATTTATATTTTTGGTCTAGTAAAAATCAGAGAGTATAGAGAATTTATGAAAACTTTATTTCTCAAATCTAATAGTAGATTTAAACACTCTTGAGATTAGTGCGAGAGAATACTAAATGACATTTATCGTTATTCAAAAATAAATTAGTCTCTCAAATGTTCAATGATTTAATGACGGGAAACTCCATCAATGTTCAATGATTCAATGATGTGAGTGCGTTAATTGCTTCATTTCATTTTCAGATTAGCGCACTCAAAAAGAAATGCTAAGGATTATGTAGAACGATGGTGATAGGATTAAGATGGCAAGACAAGACCAAATGTATACCACAAAAATGAGAATTTAAGTGTCAAATTAAGAGCATAATATCTTGTTCAAGCGTGTCATTGATCAACCAAATCTACCAATAATTTTTGTGCTCTAGCCAAACTAGTACGTATATACTATGATTCTTTAATTCGCAACAATCCTTGTGCAGCAATCATGATCAAGGAGCAAGGCATCCGTTGGCTTCCTGAGGACCGTCAATAGAATGTGCGGTAATCGTCTCCAGTTCCCAACTTCTCAACAGCTGTTAAAAAAGAGCAACATAAATTTTAGATCGGTCAATCACTAATATTCAGCAGCTAAACACGAGGACGCCTGACCTGGGACAAAAAATGTAACGAAAATAAAAAGTTCAGAGTACCGGCAACTGGCAAGTCTGCATATGGGCTGACATCAATGGATTCCATCACCATTATTGAAGCCCAAGCTATAAAACGTGTAAACATTATAAAAAGGAAGCAGCAAAGCCATTGGACTTCATGGGCCTTCCGACAGCACGGGAAATAAGGCCAGGGCCATAACTGTGGGCCATCACCTGTCTACCTTTTGGGTAGCGAGCCGGGACTAGATCTACCGAGCCAGGACATCGTGTGCTAACAAGAAACGAAATGATCATTCCTGTGAGAAATCAGAAACGTCATGGAAATTAGGATAACAGAAACTTTGCAGCTTAGGTTTGTCTGGTATTCTCTGGTTTCTGTTTTCTGTTTTTGTTTTCAAATTTTTGGAAATAGAAAATGAAAACTCATTTCGTTTTGGATTTCTTTTGTTGAAAAAATATAAACACACACAGACACACCAATCAATCCCTTTTGAGCTACGAAAGTACTACTTTAAACGCATCGAATCCTTTCTCAATAAGCTTTGTAGCTAAACATTTCCTTTGGTTACAGATTTGCCTTTGTTTAAAGCAACCTCAGCACACAAATTAAGTTCATGGAAAACAAGAAGTCTAATAATCGTTGCTGGAGCTTGGAAAGGATTGCCATTTTCTGTCTGAATGTTTGGAGTGAGTCGTTCGGCCCAATTTCCTTGTGCTGCCAATTAAAACACGGTGTCCGATCTTAATAATTAGGATCAGGCAGACCATGCTGCTATGATGTTTCAGGCCACATTCTGAGTGACCTTGGAGAAATGTTATATGATATATGAGCTGAATTTAAATATATCGGACAAACTACTTGAAAAAGGGAAACAGGAAACTGGTTAGAGATAGCAAATCCAATAAAGAAGGTATTAAATGTTAATAACAGCTCCAAATTATTTGAAGCCAGCTTTGGCATTTTTTCTTTTTCAACGTCCTGCTAACCATTCTCATCCACTACCAACATCTTTTAAAGTGTACTTTAATTTTGCAACTTGCAAGATAAGATGTGATAATCTAGTTAAGCTATCATTATCTCTTATTTCAGTGACTGAGAAAGGAGAAGGCTAACAAGGCCTTTCCCTTGCTTTGCGGCTTACATAATTGTATCAGCTATAATCCTTCCCTAAAAATCACATAAGGTTATCAGGACTGCGCAAGCAGACTAAACATAACTCTCTTTCGCAAAGAGGAGCAAGACATGATCATGCAGTTAGCACATGAAAAAAAAGAAAAGAAAAAAAGAGAGGCCTTTGAATGATTAAGCTAATATGGAAAATGATTCACAAACAAACTTTTTAAACAGAATTTCCTCACAGATCGATGTGTCAACCGATATACTTGGGTGCAGCTCATGGTATTTCACATTCTGCATCGCTCAGCAAATGCTATCCGTTCAGTTTTAATCAAGAAGCACGAACCAAAAAGGGAAAAAAGTTGGGACAATGAAACAATACGATTGCTCGCAATGTAGCCATGAAGACCAAGAAATAAAAGGTGCAGACAGCGCCAACAAAACAAGACGGGGGATGGGCTGAGCCACGTACCAAGAAAATATAATCAATCAAGCTAGAGAATATTGTAATAAGTCCGCATTCTTACCTTAAAGATCGATTCATTCTCCATAATCAAGAACGAGAAACGCCATGGTGAGTTAGACTGCTTCCAGTACTGCCTTCATGATACAAACTTTATATCGAGAAGATTTTGTTCTCAAATCAACCAGGATAATGAGATAAGTAATTTTATTACATGAAACAAAATTGATTTTTACAAAAAAAAGGTACACATCTCCAAAGTTTGTTAGAGCTCTGGCTAATAGTGGTTACAATAACATAAGCATTTCAGTCTCACAAAATGTAGTACCAGAATGTGAGGAAAGCAGCAATGCCACTTACGATACAAAGCCTATCTAACCTGCTTTCGTTTCTCATCTTCTCCTCTTTTAACTCACTCTGCGCTTTTGAGTACAAGTGACAAGACTCAAGAACTTCACTGTAGTTTTTGCTCCTGTCGCAGCTCAATGCTTCCTTGAGAATAAGCAAACTATTTCTTCCATTGACATGAGCGCCTTCCATGTCTTCCAACTGCATGCTCAGCTCTGTTAATTTGAGAGTTGTCTGAACACCCTCTCCTTCAGTATGGATCGCTCTAAACTTCATGATAAGGATGCATTCTACTACTTGACGTGGAAGAATGTCTTTCGCAGAAAGTACAGATCCAAAGCGTATCACAAAATCTTTGTCTGTAGGCCAATGCCTTTGCCCACCAAGGGGCTCCAACTAGCAAGATTAGCAGCTTGCTTGATTTTTTTGTTAACAACAATCCAACTAAGTCGAAGCCCATCCCAAAGCTCCATCCATAGTTTCCCATCCTTTCTTTCTTTCTCCATTGATAAAATTGGGGGCAGACCATCAGAAACTGAAAGGAAAACTTCACCTTCACTGTCATCATCCCTAGCCGCATAGGTAAGAAGGTCAATACGAAACGGACAGTTGTAAAACCAACCATTGAACTCATTGGCATTAGGGATGCCCCACAGGACTTTCGAACAGATTGTTTTATCCTTGTACCTGATATCAACAATCGAAACAAAATCCGACGGTGCAACACTCTCAAATTCATCTACATCGCCATAGTATTCAGCGTCAGTCCATTCTTCAGGGTACTCCAGGGAATCATTCCATTGACGCTCAATTACTTCCCTGTTAACAATAAATGGAAAACAGTCCGCATAAAACTTTCTGAATCCACCAATCGATGATATTAAACTTCTAACATCTTCCCTGTTCGTGGAAGGCCACATAGAAGAACAGACATTTTCCCATAATTTCTCTTCTTTTGAAATGGAGCAGAACGCAGCACAAGCACAAGCTGCACTGGCCAATGTCAGGCCATCAAGACGCCTCAATATGTCGTAGAAGAGATCACTACTTAACGATGCCATACTCTCAACAGGTGTAACTGACATAGCTATAGACAGGTATTCTGAACATAGCAGAAAAAAAAAATTAATCTATGCACATATAGATAGTAAATCAACACTAGTTCTCTTGATAACCACAGAAAATTATCAATCAATGATGAAGTTTTAAGGGTAGTGGTCTTTGAATGATTGAATCATTGAAATTATCCCTACAAGAATAATTTGAAAGAATTCACATTTCAGTGAGATTCACAAGGAAAAAAAGAGACCATCTTAAGTTTTTCCAATTACAATAAGAAATAACATATAGAGACTGTAAATGAACCCCATCATATATAAACATAAAAAACAATTTAACTCAATGGCATGACTAATCAAGAATGATGCAATGATAACTAATCAATAAAATGCATCAAAAAGAAAACCCAATTCATAGCCGTGAACAATTAAATACCAAATCAAAACCAGCAGTTCAATGAGAGAGAAGAGAAAGAGAGAGAGGATGCTGAGTTAACGCACCTCGTAGATTAGCAAGAAAGCATCACAAGTGAAGCAAAGACAGAAAACAAAACGTGAACGCAGAGAAAAAGCAAGTAAAAGGAATCAAAAAGAACAAACGAGAGAAAGATATATTGGGGTTAAGGATTTGTTGGTTTCTAGGGCACTGTCTAAACTATAAACAATTTTCTTCCTGCTGATTTTCTCGGTCTGATAAATAGGAGTACTTCATTACAGCATATGAGAAGAGGGTTTGTTTCTGGTCTGGTCTCTTGTTTGGTTCAGCTCTCACCGGCCATGGTACAATCTTTAGTGATTTTCAATGAATATTGCCACGTCATTTGCATGTTGTGTTAATTGATGGAGACCCCCCGTCAATGTCTAATCTAATGGTCAGTCTTATCTCTTCTTATAGTATGGGACTGTTCCGCTTTCCCCAATTGGGATTTTGTTACTTCCTATATTTATTAACAGCAGAAAAAATCCAAGCAAAATCATATGCCGCTCTTTGTGCTTTTTTTTTTTTTTTTTTTTGTAATTTCAGTTTAATCATTCTCTCGTTTATATGCCTGCGATTCGGTGGTTGGAGTCTTAGAGATGATCAAAATTAATTCGATGGCAGTACTCTTCTTTGCTATCTTTTCTTTCCAGAAGGTAAAATTGCATGTTCGTATATTAAGTTTTTATTTTTTTAATCGAGTAGATGAATTTCATATTTTATTTTGATATTACTCTTTTTTTAACACTCTTACAAATAATTCATCAGTTTATATATATGTATTAGCTGATGTGGACTGATTAACTTCAAATTTTGGGTTTTTTTATTAGAAAAAGTTTTCTCCACACAATGTTGTATATAGTAAATAAAGATATTTTAAAATCAAAATAGGTCCTCCATTAAGTTAGAAAAGAAAAACATTGAAAGGGATTTAGTTTCTTTGTAATTTTATTTTATTACCGCATAATATCTTCAAATTACTTTTAAAGTATTAAAATTAAATTCGTCGTTGTGTTTCGATTGAAGACAAGCCATACAATAGTTGAGATAAAAACTATTTTACAGTCATTAACTATTTAACCAAATAAATGGATATCATATTATTGTAGAATAAAAGGATTTATTTTAATTTGATGATTCTTTTTTACCTGTGCACATACGGGCTTTTCTCTTCAAAAATGTTAATTATGTAATTTCCTTTACATTTATGCATATACAGGTCAGACATTATTTACGACCGGGATTGAAATCATCATGGAATGAACTTTTATAAATAAATTAAAAAAAAATCAAGAATTTTCTAGTTTTAATGCTAACAACTTGTTTGTTCTCCTGAGAAAAAAAAGATATATATTTGACTAGCTAGATTGAAAAAATAACCATTTTGTTGATGTGAAAACTAGTGAACAATACCATAAACCTCGAAATTAGACTAATGGAAAAATCATAAAGTCATTGTTGTATATTCATATAACTTTATTTTAGATTATATGTAATCGTGGGAATAGCTAGTATTTTGCCCATCGAGCGGTGGTGCCGTGTCAACTGTCAAAGAGCACAGGACATTTGGATCAACTGTCAAGTCACCCTTATAGTCAGCCGAGAAACTTTGATAGGGAACTCTAACCTGATTTTTTCGTGCTGGGTCAGGAGGTGCTTGTGACCACAAAACCAAAGCGCACACAGATATTAGGAGGATGATCTCTAGAAGGTGAACATTATAAACCAGATAGATATTTTTGTTTATACCAATGCAGTCCAAAATCAGTGAGTAATTAGCAACCCAAGAATTAATATCCGTGGTAATCAGAGTCCCTCTTTGTTAGCGGAAAGCCGCATTCTCTTGGCCAGCAAAGACTTGGAAAGGGTAAGAGGCTAGATGTGAATTTCCCTTTTGGTTTCATATTTTTGGACAGCATGAGTAAGGAACCAAATTTAGGAATCTTCTCAGTTGCTGCCCTGCTTAAAACCTTTGACAATTTTTAAAAACTTCAACTTGGTACACGTCGCTTTTTTGTTTCCAATGACCAAAGATGTCGAGTGGATATTCATTATTCTCTCTACCACGTAAATCTGAAATTTGGCATTGACTCGCGATGTTACGCCTCCGTCTCAATTCAATCTCATCCAAAAGTATATTTTTTAACATGGCAATTTCTTTTTCTGCCGCCCTTTTATTTCTTTCGGTCTTTCTTCTCTTGGTTTTTAAATTATCTTCAAGCAAAAGGAAAAAAAATGAACCTTAAGAAATTGGTTTGATAAATAAATTAAGGGTTATGATTATTTCTATCTTTCGAGTTCAAACTTTATGATCAACCGTTGAAATAATTTATGTCTCTAAATGTATTAATATAAAAAATGGATTGAGGAATACTTCGTGCAGTCGACATGTGGGGGAAAAAAAGGGCAATTATACTACATACTTGATACTCGGACACTATAATATTTTTACATTACTATAAAAGCATACGAAGAGTAACAATTTTCCTAAGAATTATGGATGAGCATTACAAAAGATAATCATAAATATATGTTGACGTGCATATGGGGGAATTTTGAATTTTGGATGGGTCTGTGAGGCTTGAATAAATGGATCGACCGACATATGTGATGTGAGCGACAGATATCAATTAATGTCCTGATCATAACATTTACTCCATCACCTACAAGAAGCCGGTCAATTGTTTTACCAAGAAAAATGGATTCACGAATCCAAGCCTAGATATGGCTGTTTTTTTCACTCTCAGTGGGTACCAAGGTCATCAAGAAAATGATTTAAGAACAATCAATTATCAGATCGATTCGTGTGCCCGTAAAATGAGCATGGTTTCGCTTTCAGAAGTGAACTCTGGAGTGAGAGAAAGCTTTAGGTCACCAAATGAGAGGAATGAATACTAAAATAATGCATGGATTTTTTGGAAAGGTAAAAATTGACACAACACCTGTGTAGTATTATTCTATATATGCACTGCCAGATTTCCCATGATTTTCATGGGGTCTGCAGGTTCCTGTTGGTGTTAAAGTTGTGGAAATGGAATTGTGCCAATTGGCCAGCGCACCAGGTGGAATTTAGGGAAATTTAGGATTCGATGGTTCGAATTTACTTCCACTACATTAGCATTGGTTGCACCTGTCACCATAAAGGAACTCAATCTTGGCGTAAGCTGCAAGGAATGCTCTGTTGGAAAGTGCAAAGAAGATGCAGCCTAGGCCCAGTTAAAAAGCACAAGAGAGTGCGGTCCAATCTAGGCCCAGTTGGAAATTTTGCAAGCCGAGTTGGGATTCTAAGATCGTTGACCAAAACTTTGCTACTTGTTGCATGTTGCACGCCCAATAAATGCATCAGTTCATTTTGCCGTCACATGAAGGGGGAGCCATACTAGGGGCCACCGTGAGGGCTGGCAATGTATATGGTATGAAATAGGTACCCACTTCATGGGGTGTAATAAATATCCCTCAAAAGTATTCTATAGATATCAAAATGAATAAAAAAAATAGATATTGGTTAATATGGTTTTTAAGCATGAATATCAGTTTTATATTCTACTAATATCCTCTAATATTTTTTTTTTAAATGATTAACATGCAAGAACCAGATTGCATAAACTTTATAAAATAAGAATCAAAGTATTTTTTATAAATAAAAAAATTGAGGATAAAAAAATACAAATAAAGGACTAGATTGTAAAATATATTAATTTTAAGAACTGAAATAACTTTTTTAAAAAAATACAGAATCTAAAATGAACTTTTTATTTGTAAAATATATTATTTTTGAGGACCAAAATAACTTTTTTGAAAAATATCAAAAAGTAACATGAACTTTTTAATAATTATTTTTTAACAAGTACTAGGTATTAAATATACCAAGTCAGATATGAGTTTGAAAGGTAATTTCTTAATGTAAATGGGATATTAATTTTTTAATGAGTATGGTAAGGGATTGATATCCGAGCCATTGTCATCCCTTACCACTGCTCCAAAGTTTATTTTATTCCTCGTGGTTATATATATTATTCAATTATACCTTAAAAAAATTACAAATTAGCCTCTCCGGGATGCTTATTTTATGAGAGGTTTTTAACAATAATAAATGGTTACTCATTTAATATAGTATATAGGATTGATTGTTTTTCTTACTTAATGTATATATTAAAAAATATATAATGAACCATTTATTTTTCAATAAGTTAATAATATGCATGAAATCAAAAAGATATTTGATCTAGTAATTAACTAATAAATTAAAGTAAAACGTCTAAGTAGTGTAGCTATACTATTTGAAATACTGTGCACACACTTATATTTCACTATTCATCCTCTCACAATTCACTCGTTATTTTCACTGTTCATGAATTTTGTTTACACTTTGGTCCTTGATATTTTTGAATTCATATTTCGATCTATACGTTCCTCATCCATTTTGGTCTTTGGATGGAGAGAAAAGGCTAAGATAAAGAGAGGGAGAGATTGCCAGTCAAGCTCATTTAGGCCACTATGGTCGGCAAAAATCCATTAATTTTTTTTTTCATTTTTGAGAGATGAGTTTGTTCATGGTAGTTTCAAGCCATTAAACATTTAAAGGAAGTAGATCGGAGCCAAAAAAGAAAAAAAAATATCCGATTTGATTTTGTATTTTTCTTTGTTTTTGTGTGTATTAAAATGATTTTTAAGGTTTTAGATGTGTTTATTGACTTTATTTCGATCATTTAAAAATGTTTAAAAAAAAATGATGTCGAAATTCAATTTTTAGGAATTTGAAAGTTGACTTCGATTTTCCGGCGAACTTCCGGAGACCTCGCGTTTGCCAAAAGTTGCAAGATTTTTTTTTTTGATAGGCAAGGCTCGGCGTGTCGGCTCGCTAGCATAGGCCAACGCCCGGACTCCCTCACTTTTTACTTCTTTTATTTTTTAATGTGCAACCTAGTTGCACGAGCCAACCCGACGCTTCTCTCTCCTATATATATATTTTTTGTTTTTTACTTTTTAAATGAGTTTTAAATTTAATTAACATATATATATATATATATATATATATATATATATATATATATATATATATATATATATATATAGAGAGAGAGAGAGAGAGAGAGAGAGAGAGAGAGAGAGAGAGAGAGAGAGTATATTTAATTATATTAATTTTATTGTTTAAATTTTTTTTAATTATTTATTTAAATTCACATCAAATTAATTTTTTATATGATTTTATTTGTTAATAAATTTAGTTTTTTAATATATGAATTTTAAATTAAAATTTTAGAGTGTCAATGTTTTATTTTTTAAAATATATTATTATAATTTACACAATAAATTATGCGTGTGTGTGTGTGTGCGTGTGTGTGTGTGTGTATTAGGTGTGTGTCTTTGTCTCTTTATATATATTTTTTTCTATGCAATTTTCTTTAAAAAAATTTAAACTTTAATTGTATTGTGATTTAACCCTTTTTTAATTTTTTTTAATATTTAAAAGCTATAACTTTAATTTGTCATTTTTTTTCAAATTCTCGTCTAATTAATTTAAAATTAAATTTAATGATAATTTTCATTTATTTTAATATTATTCATTCTTTTTTCATCTGATTAATTTAAAATTATACAGTCCTCAATTTTTTATATAATATATATTTTTTTAATTTCAAACTTTAATTGTATTGTGGTTTGATCTCATTTTATTTTAGTATTTTTTATTGATTATTTTATTATTTAAAATTTACTACTTTAATTTGTCCTTTTTAAAAAATTCTCATCCATTGAATTTTAAATTACATTAAAAAATTTAAAATATTTTGTTCGCCATTGATTTCATATATTTTTATACATTCATACCATAAAACAGACTATCGATTAAAATGTTTTTTTTCTAAATGATTTTATATATTTTATCCTACTTGTAGCATAACGCGGGAAAAAAATCTAGTATACACTATATCAAATAATTCTATAAAATTATTGACTCACATTTGTAACTAAACTAAAACTCATTAATAACTAAAAAGCTATCATCTAAAATAGTATTTTATATTCTAACATTTTGATTTGTTTTTCTTACTATAATTTTAATAGAACCAATAAATATATGCAATAATAAATATTAAAATGTATATTAAGATACTATATGCATGCATGCTCACAGCTGCATGCTATCAACCATGGATCAATTTAATTTCGCTTCTCAAATTTATTTTTTGAGTAACCAGGAACACAACACACAATCAGATGACGGTTTTGTTAGGAACGTGGAGCCCAATGTCACAACTCGCACATGCACAGCCTGACTATTTAACATAAAAGGCCTGTTCTTTAGTCATGGGCTTTATAACCCAATTTGTAGACGTGGAGTGGTTGATTGGGCCAGTTGACTACTTCCAATATTATATCGTGACTTCTCACATAAAGTCACATGGATGCAAGCTCGCATGAAATTTGACTAGCCGGGATGATATTTGTTATTTAGGCATCCCAAACAAAATATACTTGGGAGTCGGATTTCGGATCAAAACTGACAATCGACCATGAATTAGTTAGCTCTTCAACATAACGTCATCATGCTTTTATCCAATACATACCAATCCCAGGGTTAGAGACTGTCGAAAGCTAAAAAATAAATCATTTTATCTCTTTTACCATCTAACTTGATAGCAATTTCAGCCCTCAAAAACCTGATCAAAGCCGTAAATGCTCAAAACCATATTAGACATCTCCTTTCTCTAATCATTGATTTACCCATCCAAAAATCTCTTAATCCACTAGAGGACTCATGTATAGGGATGGTAGTAGGCTAGATATAAAATATGTATCAAGTCCAATCTGTTCATTAATTATCCTTTTAAAACATCCTAATTGGTAATTGATTAAATATAGATAAGATAATATTACCTATTTATGTTAATGGATTTATGAATATGCCTTTTTTTTTTTTTTTACCCTATTGATATTTTTTTTACCCATTATCATAAAAAAAAATACTAAAACATAAAATTTTAAAATAAGCAAAAGAAATGAACAATTTCTCTTATTGATGAATGAAAAGCATAGTATTTTTATATATACATGTGCAAGTTGTATTTTTTATTTTTCTTATACGAAGTGTTTTTATTCTGCATTCTTTCCCATAATATTTCTTAAGTTTTTCTTTCTTTTAAGTTTGAATTGGATTCTGATTGAAAAGTTGAAATTGACATTTTCCTGTTACTAAGTGTGATTCGACCAAAATATCTACCCATCAAAATCAATGTTGAATTTTGGTTTTTCTCCAACCAATAAAATTAAATATTATAATTTTCATAATTATTTACCCTTCCATCATTTCTTTTATTTATGTTGAAACCTTACCACGTATTTTTTTATTACTATTTTTTATTATTAAGTATATACGAACAAAATCAATTAGGATCATATTAGAAGCTTCATTGAAATTTATCATCATTCTTTTTTTTTCTTTTTCTTTTTTTCCCTTCCAATCAATAAATATTTAAAAATAAAAGACATAAAGGTATTATATTCTTCCCAATTGTTTAACCCCTCCTAGCCTTTTTATAAATACCTTGAAAGTATAGATGGAGACACCCTATCAGATAATATTTTAAGATTATATAATATTGTCAAAAACATCTACCATCCCAGTCTTTCTAAGTACCCGTCACCAATAAAAAAAAAAAATTGTCAGCAATTATTTTAGTATATAAAAATAGTACAGACAAAAGGAGTTTGTAACAAAAAAAATCAATAAAAAAATTTAAAAAAGAAGTCTTCAATTTAAGGGAAAAAAATTAAAGAATAAACGAGTATGGACATAATCTGATATAATAGGTGTAAATTAGGTAAAGAAATGAACAAATAATTTTTAATAAATAATAGGTATAATACTTTTTAGTAGATAGGACATGGGATTTACTTATGAACCCGGTACCTGCCCTCGTATATTCAAAATCATATTCGGAAAATTCATCAATCCACTAGGAAGACTTGTTCTCAATTCGTATGCTCAAAACCAGGTCAGATTTCTCTTTCTTCTTCCGATCACTGATTTAACTATAAAAAAATCCCTCAATCTACTTTGGAAGATTTGTCCTCAATCCACCAGGAGGAGTCTGAGCAGGAAAAATCTCCATAAATCATCAATTTTTTCCATTAAAATGCGTATTAGAAATATCGTTCATTTGCAGCAATTAATAACCCAACCAATAAGCATTTTGTTTAGCGATAGACATATCCACAAAGCAAGAGAAAATGAAACAAGCATGCTATTCAAATCTTACGATCACCCAAGCAAAAAAAGAAAATATGCTTCACGTCTTACCATTTAGAATTCAATTTCAAGATGAGGCCGTGAGGATGCATCATTTTTCAAATTTCCACTTTCTGACGTGGTGGATGCTAGTGCTACAAACTGGTGTCATAGACTATTTGCTAGTTAGCAACAAAGCAGGCGAAAGCTGCCCATGATTTTTTTTGTTCCCGAATCCCGATCAAGCCCATGATTAATGCTTTATTTGATCAAAGACCTTATTCCACCAACATCAGCTTACCAATATCTCCCATACAACACTAAATTTTATATATAAAATCATCTTGTAAATCAAGAAAATGCAGAACAGGACGGAAATAAGACACACGATCAAAGATTTAAGCAGATCTAATAAAATATTGCCGTCATTGATTTCAAGAGTGGGTTAAAAAATTCCAACATGGTAGAACGAAAAACCCACCCAAATCCCAGACATCTAAACCCCATAAAACTATTACTAATACTACTGAGTACCGTTCCCTGACCTCCATCCCACCGTTTTTTTTTTAATACAACCAAACGTCTAGTATTCAAAAATCTTAATCATCATCATCAAAGAGCTGCTGCGTTGTCGTCAGAGAAAACAATATCAGATTCACGCAAGCCCTTCTCCTTGTGATCAGCAGAGCCGTCGGCGTCGTCGTCGTCGAGATCGCGAGCAGGATCAGACTTGTCCATGGCGGAACGAGCCTTGTCGAGGATAGGTTTGAAAGCCATCTCAATAGCTAGCCACCCAAATGCAAGAGCCCCAAATACAACCATCGCTTGTTTCGCTGGCTTCATCCCCATCTTCTTTTTCTTCTCTCTCTCTCTCTCTCCCCTTCTCTCTCCTTAGCCGCTACTCTTATTTTAAGCTTTCTAGGCAAGCTAAGCTTGGATTCCTTACTCGAGTGGATTTATTTTTACGTGCTGGGAGCTGGAGTTGGATTTGGGAAAGAGAGAAAACGGGTATTATTGACCGTATGGGCCCATCAAGGTTTTTTTTTTTTTTTTTTTTTTTTTCGGTTATTGATTCACAGTCAGAATTTAGGTTTGAGCCAGGAAATTTGTTTGACTTTTCCTAAATTCAAATTTCGATCCTCCGTTAGAAAATTGCCCCTTTTCTTTTTGTTTTTTAAAGAAAAACATGGGGCTAATGAAAGGAAATTTGTGTGACTATATTTATGTTTCAAAAACTAATTATTTAATTATTAAAAAAAAACTAAAAAACATAAGGCTTGGGATTTTGCCTGCTTTTGTTTCTTTCTTTTTTCCATTCTGCGTATAATCACCCTCCTGTCTTGTTTTTAATTTTTGTCTTGTTATTTAATGAATTTGTGAAATTTTATATTTATCCTTGACTGTTTCTGCTTTTCTTTTGCTTCTTCGGCTCTTTTTCGTCATTTCCTTTGATTTTCACGTAAAGTATTTAATGCTCCTCTCGTTCGTTGTCTTTTTTACCCAAGCCATTTGCAATTCGAGAGTAAATTATACATTAGTTCCTCTTGCTTCGAAAAAATAATTCATTAGTTCCTCTTTAATTTTAAAAACTAATTATTTATTATTTTTTGTAATTTTTAATTTTTTTAAAAAAATAAAAAAATATTGATGAAAAGATAAAAAAATTTATAAAATAAAAAATTAAATTAGTTGTGGTCAACATTTGTTATAAAGATTAAATAATTATTTTAAAATAAAAAAATTATTTAATTTATTTCTTGAAATAAAAGGGACTAGTTTATAATTTATTCTTCAATTCAAAAACCTCTTTCGTCGTTGTTTGCATGTGATTTCTTTTTGATAAATATATATATAAAGTGCATTAACAAGAACTATATTGAGTATAAAAAACTAAATGTATCCTATATATGATGTCAAGGATAAAAAGAGTAAGTGATACCCATAAATAATAATCAATTTTAAAATTGACCACAAATAAAGCTAAAATAGTTAGTGCAAGTATCGACTTATTAAAAATTAATGCAAAATGATTTTATGAATATAAAGTAGTGATTGTATTTTCGTGTCTAAAGTTGTAACCTGGATGCATTTTTACGCTTTCCTTAAAAAAAATGTTTATTTGATGATTGGATTTGTTTTTGAAGAATTTTCTTCTTCTACGTTTAATAGGAGCTCAAATATGTGTGCGGCTATATTGATTTTGTGTGCTTTTTTTTATTTGTGCTATGTACAATTGAATTGACCAAATATTCGAACAATAAAAATATAATAAAATTATTATCATGTTATTTATAAATAATTAACTATCAAAGTTAATTTTATAAGTTTTTTAATTGCAATTTGATTGTGCGTAAACACACAAAAAACTTAGTATTTACTTTTTTTAAAATGAATATTTTCAAATCAATTTCTCTCAAATAAAATAATAAAATTATATTTTAAAAACAACATCTGAAGGAAACATACTTTATAAATAGAGTTTTTTATGCTAATATTATTTATTATTTTGATAATATATATATGTGTGTGTAAACCTAATATACATACATTTAAAAACTAACATGCTCATCAATACTATCAAAAAAAAATATTCTAAATCTTAAAATTTGCATGCAACTTTTTAAAAATCAATTATTGTTTTATTTTCTCAATATAATATTATGAAATAAATAATTAAATTTATATATTTTTTCTTTTTAGGATTTTCTGATTAATTGAAACTTGCACTTTGGATTATTATAAATTTTTATTTAAGAATTCATGAATGAAAAAAAAATCATATTTTTTTAGGAAGAAAATCCTTTTAAAAAGTAATAAAAAATTAATTAAATATAAAATCTTAATTAAAAAAATCATAAAGTTATATAGGTGAATATTTTTTGTTTTGTTTTTGATTTTAATATATTTTAATGGATCAATAACGTGGCAAAAACCATTGAATTATAATAGTTTGTTTTTCAAATAATTTGATCTGTCATATCTGATCCGTAACGCATTACCAACAACTATTTAATTGCTTCTGATTGAAATTGAGGCAGATACAAGGTTAAGAGGTCTTTCTGAAGGTGGAGGCAGAGGGTATTGTCATTCATAGATAGCTAGCTTAGATGGGATCCATGAACCCAATCGGTGGCCCACAAGAATGAGAGAAGGAATTGATTCTTGGACATTTGTAGAAAATGAGACTCGAACTATGATTTCACATGGTTTTATCTCATTCCTCAAACAACAAGCCATTGTCATAAATTAAAATTGATTTGTGAACATATAAAATTCTCATTCCTCAAACTTAGCCTGATTTATGAACATGTAAAATCACTTTCAAAAACATAATTTCTTTCTCGTTCATGCCCTATTTTCTTTATAACGATTGATGTCAAGAACCTTATTGATTCTGTTAAAATGTTTGCAAAAAGTCACAAGAATTATTTTATTTTTCGTTTAAATAACTATTTCTTTATAATTAATAAAATATAGGGAAAAAAAACATTTAGCTATGCGAATGACATTATTATCTACAACGAGATCCAATTGAAACCCAATGGAAAGGATATTTTTCATTTTTTGTACACATATAAATAGGAGGCAGTCCATTTGGATACAAACCGCTGATTACAGAGAACAGAGAACGAGTCCTAAACTTTTCTAAAGCTAATTGATTCAATAATACTGTATACTGTCCTTAATCACAAACTGATACTCCAAATTTAAATTTTTTCAATTTAAATGATATGATTATTTTTTAGTTTGTAACTAGTTAGATACCCGTGCTACATCTATGGACGGACAACCGTTACATACATAGGATTAACGATTTTTATGATGTAAAACAAGTAGAAATTTTTATTTTTGATGATTAATATAAATCGAATATATATATATATATATATATTCAGAGTATATAGAATAAATACAAAAAAATCACTCGAATTGTATAAATATATTGAAGTCAATAGATTAAAGTAAAAACTACAACAAAATTAGTTCGATAAATTTTGAATAAATATATATAAAAAAAGGAAATAAAACTTGTGAATTTTTTGAACTTATTATTTTTTTAAAAAAATAAAATCGAGTTAAACTATCTAAAACATACCTTTAGCCCCCTCTCTCTCTCTCTCTCTCTCTCTCTCTCTCTCTCTCTCTATATATATATATATATATATATATATAAGTAAAACACTCATTTAAAAATATAAAAATAATTTATTGTATAAATTATAATAATATATTTTAAAAAAATAAAACATTTTAACAAATAAAATTATATCAAAAAATTAAAGAATTAGTTTAATGAGAAATTTAATAAGAAACAAATAATTGAAGAAATAAATTTTAACAATAAGAATAAAATAATCAAATATGTATGTTAATATCAATGTCAAAGATAAAATTAATATTAGTTCATGAACATTAAAGGGACCAATAATATTAACTTGTATAACGCTTGTTGGAGATCTAGTTATGCTTTGAAAAAAAAATATATATATTCTTTTAAGTGTTTCCTTTGCCTCTTGATAATCCAATTCTAAAATACATCAAGATTTCAAATAATTAGCCAATTTTTTTTTTTCTATCATGAGATTGGTGTCCGGACTTCTAAAAATATAAAATAAATTATAAGAAGAAGAAAAAAAAGAGCAGTGGTCGCGCTTGGTTGGTGTATATATATATATAGTAATTTACGGACTCGAGTATATAAACTAAATAAAAAATTATATAAAAAAACCTATTTAAATTATATGGAATATATCAAAGTGAATATATCTAAATAAAAACTACTATAAAATTGATTTCGATAAATTCTAATTATATATATATATATAACCAAATAAAACTGTGAATTTTTTTAACTAATTATTAATTTTTTGAAAAAAAACCAAGTCAAATTAATTTTTTAATTGATTATTTTTTTAAAAAAAATAAATTATTCATAACAAACTTTTAACTCTTTATCTCTCATTATATATATAGCCAAATAAAATTGTGAATTTTTTTAACTAATTATCAATTGTTTGAAAAAAAAAAGTAAGTCGGATTAATTTTTTAACCGATTATTATTTTTTAAAAAATAAAGTTAAATTATTTAAAACACACTTTTAACTCTTTCTCTCTCGTTATAATTTATATAAGCAATAACGATATTTTCACATAAAAATCATAAAAATAATCAATCATATAAATTATAATAATATATCTTTAAAAAATGAAACAATCATGTTCCAACATTTTATTTCAAAAGTCATATATATATATATAAAATAAATTTATTAACAACTTAAAAAAGAAATGACAAACTAAATTCCAATAGTCCAACCCATTAAAAAGAAATAAAAAAAAGGGATGCCAACAAGGAAAAAAAAAGCCACAATAATGGGACTATGAAGGATGCTACAACAATAGGACGGTGAAGGACCAACTCGAGCAGTCCAGGTGAGTAGATGTTTTATTTTTTAAGATTAATAAAAATCAAATCTATATATTAAGCGAACTTATTTTATCTATATATATTCATTAATAAAATAATTTATAATATTAGTATAAAAACATTATATTTGAATAATTAAGCGGTCGTATCAAAACATTAATTAAATTATTTTATTTAAAAATATAAATTTTAAAATATGAAAAAAATAAATAACAAATAATTGATGTTATGTGTGTAGATATAATTAATTTCTAACAAAACTATATATATCATACTCAACAGATTTAGAGTATATAAAATAAATAAATAAGTATAAAAAAATTCACCTAAATCGCATGGAATATATCGAAGCAAATAGATTTAAATAGAAACTACCGTAAATTTGGTTTCGATAAATTTTGATTATATATATAATTAAATAAAAATTATGAATTTTTTAACTAATTATTATTATTATTATTATAAAATAGAGCATTATTATTTTTTTAATCGATTACCGATCATCATTTTTTTAAAAAAATTAAATTAAATTATCTAAAATACACTTTTAGCTCTCTCTCCCACTCATTAGAATTTATATATTACAAAACTATATATATTACTTAGCGGACTCATAATATATAAAATAAATAAAAAATATATATGAAAACCTACTTAAATTGCATGGAATATATAGAAGTGAATAGATTTAAATAAAAACTATTATAAAATTGGTTTCAATAAATTCTGATTATATATATATTACTTAGCAGAATCAAAGTATATAAAATAAATAAATAAAATAAATAAAAATATATATGAAAACCTACTTAAATTGCATGGAATATATGGAAGTGAATAGATTTAAATATAAACTGCTATAAAATTGGTTTTGATAAATTATATATATATATATATATATAAGGGTATTGGTAAATCCACCATATGTTTTTGTTATTCCCATCAATTTTTTATTTTAAATTACTAATAAATCCTTAGATCTAATTACTATTTAGTCACCACCTTGATATGTGGTGGTATGTTGGTAATTTACAATAAAAAAATTGATGAGAATAACAAAATATCTGATGGATTTAGCAATACCCATATATAAAATGTGAATTTTTTAACTAATTATTAACTTTTTCCTTAGAAAAAAAAAGGAGAAGGTCAGCTGTTAAAAGGGAAAAAAATGGTATTGCTATAATGAATGACAACCGAACTCTTTAAGAAAAGAAAAAAAGTGGAGGCCAGCCCGGAAAAAAAAAAAGAAAAGAAGAAGAGTCCAGCTCGGAAAAAAAAAATGAATGACACCCAGCCCTCTGAAAAAAAAAAAAAAAAAAAATCAAGATGACCAACTCAAACTTACATACTTTCATGTGTATCATAAGAAATGCAGTAAAATTTTGTTCAATAAAATCATCTATGAATTTTCTTAGATATGTTTTTGTCATAGTCTGAATTTACTAAATGCTTTGCTGATTTTATTAATTTTAAATACACTGTTTTTTTTTGGGAAAAAATGAAAGAAATGTAGCTATAATTCTGTGAGGTATTTGATGATTTAGCGTGGCCATGCACTCCTGTAGGTTTTCGATTATTCATAAAAAAAAAAAAAAAAAAAAAGAAGGCCAGCCAAAACAAAAAAGAAGAGGCCAGCCCGGAAAAAATTTAATGACAGCCCAGCCCTTTAAGAAAAGAAAAAAAAAAGCCAGCCCAAAAATGACAACCCAACCCTCTAAAAAAAGAAAAATAAGAAAACCAAAGGGACTAATTAATTTATCTTTTAAAGAATAAGGACTAAGATGTAAAAAGAAAAATACATGAATAAAGATTTTAAATGTATAGCTAAAGTGAATAAATAGTTATATCTCCATTTTCTTGTTTTTAATCATTTCTACCAACTTCGTTGACTAAATTTCGAACATACGATATAAACACGTTATAGTGAAATGACAAAAAAAAAAAAAAAAATCAATACCTAAATTAACTTACCAAACTTTTTTTTTCCTCCATTCTTTTTTGTTACTTCCTAAATCTCTCATCTCCTCAATCATCAACATGTTTCTTTGCAACAACCTAATTCAGAACACTCATCCATCATTGAATGACAAGAAATCAAAGTTCTTTCAGGCATAAAATCAAACACTTCCTATCACGCTCAATAGAAGAATCAAACTTTGCAAATATCTATGACGGTTCTGGCAGAAGATTGCTGCAATGACTCATCGGGAAGAAACAGTTATGTTAGTGCTGGGAGAAGGAGTAATGGCAGCACCACTACACTCAGTGGCAAGCCAATGGAAGAGCGAGATTCCAATGCAGTTTGTCCCCTGCAGTGATACCTATTTGGATCAGCAGTAGAATTGTCAGAGACAGCACCCGTGGCAAAGAAGGAACACAGGACATCACTTGGCGAACCATTTCAGAAAACAAAAATAGCAGAGGAAAATTCTGGGTTTAAATACGAGAGGGAGGAGAAGCGTCTGGAGAAGGAAGCTGATAAATCTGCCGTGAATCTCATGAAAAATATTCTGAAGAAGAAAATGCTTCATGCTTCTTCTAGGAGTTCTACTTCAGCTGGAAGAGCAACTGTTGATTCTGCTTCAGGAGAAACAAAACTACACAAGGAATGTCCACAAACATAAGACCCAAATATTTTGGCCTTACAAGAAGAATCAAACTGTGCAAGTACTACTGGTGGAGCTAAAATTCTCAAGAAAGAAATAGAGAAAGCAGTAGATTGGATATTCGGTCTATTAACGAACAAGAACCAAAACCCGCATATTGAGTGAAAGCATTGGTAAAGAATTCAAGTACTCAAGGCTTGTCCATCTTTTGTGGAAAGCTGCATACGCTACAACTATCATTTGTTTTAAAGAAAAAATGGTTGAAATTCCAGAGGTTTCTTCTGCAGCTGCTAAGTGGTTGCAACAACTTCCTCCCTCTCGCTGGGCTTTGATTTATTTTCAAGTAACACGGTATGGTCATAGCTCTTCAAATATTGGTGAATTTAATAGATGGATTCTGGAAGCTCGGGAGCTGCCTATTATCCAGGTGATTGAGAGAATTCAAAGTAATTCATACAAAAGAAGGAAGGGAGGTGCTGGTGATGGTGGTGGAAGGGAAGAGCGTGAGGAAGAGAGATAAGATTTGATTAAAAATTGGGGTATTTTGTAATTTTACAGGTCATGTTGATCGAAAATAAAGACAATATCAAGAAAGAATTCACGTATTTTTTATTTATTGAATCATATCATTTCAAGATCACGTGTGAAAAATATAATCGAAATTTGGTCTGTGTAATCAGCAAACTTAATTACAAGCTAAAAAATAGTCATAGGGTTGTAATTGAAAAAATTTTACTTCGAGAAATCAGTTTACGGTGAACGCATGATACAGGATACTGTAGTACTAGTTAGCCTTTTACTAACAGCATGGCAGAGAACGGAGGGGAGAGACGAGGAAGGGTTAGTGATGGTGATTGCTTGAACGGAGGACCACCGCAAAAGGAGAGACGGATGGCGGGGCATAATAGACGAGAGAAACGTGACGGTGATGGTGATGGCGATGGGTATGGTGAGCGCTTCTACGAGAAAGGTTCTACACTGGTCTCGGCTTTAGAACTCAGTACAAGACCACAGCAGACGACGGGGCACAGAACTGTGTATCTTCAGAAATGATTAATTCTTTCTATAAATCTTTACTTATCTTGATGAGTCAAAGAAGCCACTTGGTAAGCGGGAAGATGTAGAAGAGCTCTCAACAGTGGCAGATTTTCTCCGAGAACCCTTCGGAATGGGTCTTGGAAAAGTAGGTAATGGGGTATTTATTGTTGGCGGGAAAGAAGAAAGGGTTCTAGAAGGCATCCACTATGAACTCCAAGCAACTGATGCAACAGAGATGGGGGTTTATGTGATAAGGCCTAAGGGGCTGACCCGAATAATTTTGGTCACATGTTGACGAATTATGTACAAGAATCTTCGTCTTTTGTTTAGCATCTCTCACCAGATTTGTATGGCTAGCTTGGGTGGGTCTCTCTGAGTTGTACATCTTTAAGGGGTTCTCAAGTCTTTTACAATCTTCCACTTCTTGTCTAGCTTACTTACCTAGGACAGACAGAAACGACAAGTGCGAAAGTTGCATAGATTTAGCATGATTTTGGAAGAAAGAACCCACCCAATCAGTCTTATCAGTTTCGAAAAAGATGGTAGAAAATTAATTTTGCTACTTCACTGTCAGAGGTAGAACTTTCTAAGTACAATCTTATTAGAGCATATAGACAGAAACTAGAGAGAATACTATGACATTCCATTGAATTGATGACCAAATTAAAGATGAAATAAAAAAAATGATATGGCAGATAATTAATCTTTTCCGAATACATTCCTCAAATTAAATAACTTGTTCATGTCTGCCCTTTCCAGATGAATAATTTGTGTCCTCAAACCCATGTGCTATTAAGAACAACTGCTGTCAATCAACTTATCGGCTATGGTATGCGCATTAGCACACGATCCTCCATTAATATGCAAAGCAATTCAAAGTACATTCGCAGCATAAATAAACCAATTAATTTACAACTAATAATACAATTCAATACATATAATAAATTAGTGACAGTGCAGACCCTGGTTTTAAACTGAAAATAATAGTTTTCACAGCCAATAAAGCGACCGGAAACAAAAAGGAGATCCAAATGAAGTTCCTCAAGAACCTTGGACACAAACAGCAAGCAATAATTTATGTTCTTCTTCGATGAAGGACTTCGATGGAAACTTCATCACCAATAATGCGAACATCTATATCCGTATCCTTAGATCTCCTCTGAACCCAACAATGCTTCTTCGAAATTGACGATCCAACACTAAAAGTACTGGAGGAAAGACTTCTTGTGATTCAAGAATAACAGTCTTCCTCTTAACATCTACCCCTCTTATAACATATAATTTCTTGCCTTTCTTTCTATCCACTAGATGTTATCTACTTCATGTTATTTTCTAATTTATTTTTATAAATAGAGATTATAAAAAGTTTGATGAAAAAATAAAATATTTTTTAAAATATATTAACATCAAATTAAACATAATCAACACTAAATACTAATCAAAAAACTAAATAATTGACTTTTGAAGTAAAAAAGACAAACTAATTCATTTTTCAAAACTAAAAAGACTAATTTATAATTTACTGTATTTTTGCTTGAGGCCTATTGGTATAGACGTGGGGAGTACTTATCGTTTCAAATTCAATACACAATTACTTATAAAAGGTAAAGAAGAAAGTATAACAAACAATATGCTCATTTACACCGAGAGTATGCACCATGGGATTTAAGCAATCATCTATCTGATCAGCCAGGTCAAACTTTGCTAGATATCAACATTCAGACTGTTCCGAACCATCAATCAAGGCATCGTAAGTGGAACGTATAACCTCTTGCTCTAGTTGCGCAATACCGATCTGCTACATGCAAGTAATTCTAAACAGAAGCATGATTAATGAAAGAGAATACAGAAGAGTAAGATAACATCAGCTCATCACTTCTGATCTTTTAGTTGAATTTAAAAAAGATTAACCGACGGACAAACTCATATCCTGCAATTGGCCTCCACAAGGCACAGTGAAATAAACACAGTAACATTCTATTAATGTTCCTAACTGTACCAACAAATTCTTGCTACAACATAGGTGTTTACATAACCAGAAGCTGCAAAAATTAAAGCAAGCATGACATGATTAGCGGCCACGTCCACGTCCGCGCCCACGTCCCCGGCCCCTACCACGACCCAAAGCCCTCCCTGAATTTTTTAAGAAGAATTAAAATTATTAGCAATCCATGATATGTTAGAGAAGAAATATAACGCAGCATTTAAATGTAGTTGAAGCCAAAAAGAAGTTAGCAATACCGGCTGTTGGCTTCTTAGGTTTGACCCTAGGTGTCTCCTCAACCAGCAAAGTCTCGAGATTCAAGCTGTCAGGAAGGATGTAATAACGGATGTTGTTGCCCCTCACACTGAGATGATCTAACGTTACTGGATTTTTCCCTTTCACGGTTAGTTTCACTGTTTTCAGATGAGTATTCATACTGATATCAACGCCTACAATCAGCAAATTAACCAGTCAGAATTGTCATTGCTTGACCTGTTCTAACATGTGCACAGTACAGATAATAGTAATTTCTATTGCCAAAAAAATCAAGTCAGACATGTTCCACTAAGTGAACAATCAGTGAAAAACTGGAGCAATAAAACATAGCCAGTCCCATTTGAATATCACCCAATCACTCTTCTCTAAAGCCTATAAAGTTGAAATTCATCAAGTATCAGAAAAAATAATCGATTCCCGAACAAAATTGCCTTGTAAGAGAAACTCGTAAAATATTTCAGATTCCCCTCCACCACCAAATAAATACTAAGACAACAGGGGTCCAGAAAGTCTCACAATCTCTCTTCTCCCTCTTGCCTCTAGGATTCATCATTATTCAGTCCATTGATCTCATGGCGATCCAAGTGGCAGATAAATATTACATAGTCAAACTCACAATTGACAGACAATGTTACCACAGCTTAGTAAGTATTATACTCAACCATGTGTTGTTCCTATCACATTTTTGGACGACTCATCAATTCATGGGGAGTGATACACCTGGGTCAGGGAAACTCTACTTAGCAGTTAGCATACCAAATTTCTAAGGGTAAAAAAGTTCATCATGAATATCCTAGACAATGTTACCACAGTTTGGTAAGGATTATACTCGACCATGTGTTGTTCCTATCACATTTTTGGATGACTCATCAATTCATGGGTAGTGAAACACCTGAGTCAGGAGAACTCTACTTACCAGTTAGCAAACCAAATTTCTAAGGGTAAAAAAGTTCATCATGATATCATAGATAAGACAAGATTTATGGACAAGGATGATGCACTATGAGATATAGCAGCTAGCAGTTATGCTCCACTAATACAGCCACCTTAACTACGATTTGTCACTCAAAATTCAAATGGCTCAGCAATGACAGATGCTGTGCAAATCATGGCCAGAAATATACGCAAAACTACATCTATCCTCGTTCCTCATCAAACCATATATGCTATATGCTTGAAAACCATACATTGATATTAACTTATTCATGATTAAATGATATTGGTGCTGCATAGTCTGTAGTTATCGTTATAGAAGAGAAAAATCTAATGTTTGGCAGGCTAGCAACAAGCTACTTTTGTAATGTTGAACAGATGCACAGGCTCGTTTTTTTCAAAATTTGCTTTGTTCATATACTTCTTATTGTATATATTAAGTTGCATATTTGCTCTTTTTTCGGCATAAAACTTTGTCTTGTAAGTTCTGTATGAAATTGTTGATGGCATATTTATCTTGCTTCCTAGTGAGATATAAATGCTTCTTTAGCTACACTCATGTAAATCTACAAACATGTAATTTTTTTTTTCACCATTTTGCTAGCAGTTTATGAGTCTTCCATTTTCTATTTAGGTTGCTGCTTCAACCAACATGGAAGTTGATGCTCACATCCCTAATTACCCAAGCTTACCTCCACAAATAATCTGCCAGCTTCACAACGTGACTATGCACGTGAGTGAATTTTGTTCTTAATCTGCTTCTGATTGGCATGATGTGCAGCTGTTGGATTCAAATGTTTTAACTACAGGCTGATGTTGAGACAGATGAAAATCTACTAGATTATACAAAATCTACAAAAAATCTTTTTGTAACGAAGAAAAAGACACAGCAACCGTCACTTTGAAGTTGCCCGTGATGACATATCACAAATCTATCTTTTGTACAGTAAAACAAAAACTCCCAAAATATACCATACCAAAGAGAATAAATTGCACAATTTACAGTTAGTTGTCCATAATATCGTGCATCTTCGTCAACAAATCAGCTCTCCTAAGAATCTATGCAAATACAATAGCTGACAAACTTAAATCTGGAGGTAGACAACAGCCCAGATAAATGCTAGGGTTTAACAAAACCCTATGTACATAAAACGAACAAAATGCAGGCCAGAGAGAGAGAGAGAGAGAGAGAGAGAGACCTGTGATGGTTCCATGAACAACAGTTCCATTCTTAAGTTCAATTGAGACGGTCTCATTGTTCAGCTTCATCAAAAACCTAAAGACGAAACGGATTAATAAAACAACCCAACAATCAAATTATTAATTAATAACAGAAAGGGGGGAAGAGAGAGAGAGAGAGAGATCAAACACTGACCTGACGAGCTTCATCGTGGAGTTGGAGGGGAAGTGCGAGCTGGCTAGGGTTTGAAAAAGCACGAGCAAAGACCAGTGTTGGAAGCGGGAGTGATGATTATAGGGATGGAAATGGGTCAGGCCGGCCCATTAAGCCAATCTCACATCCTACCCATTAAGAGAGTCTTTTTTCGAAAAATAAGAATACATTTTTAAATCTTATTTGTCAGAATAGTTTTTAAACTTAATTATCAAAATAAGGTAATCACGTAAAAACCATCTCATTTATAGAGTTTTTTTTTAAAAATAGGGTAATTATAAAACTTATTTACAAAAACAAGATTGTTTTAATCTTATTTACTAAAATAAGATAATTTTTGCCACATAGATTAAATTTTTTACACATGTCAGTTTTTTAAATATTAATAATAAACTATTTTACGCGTCAGCTTTATTTGTTTTTAAAAAAATTATGTTATCATCATAGATTATAAGTTCTTCGTCTTCCATTTTACGTCTTCCATTTTACAACCCAAAATTCTCTTCTGTTTTTCTGTTTTTTGTTTTAATTCCTGATTAATCAAGATGAAAAAAATAAAGATTTTGCCATGTTTCGTTTTCCAAATTTTTTTTGGAATGCTCTGATATGCCTAAGACAAAATGTTAGGGCACAAATACGCCCACCAATCCTGTCATTTTCAAGAACCACTCTTCTCCATCCCCAACCCATCCTCCCTCTCCGTTATTTCCCTCTCAAAATCTCCAGAAAAATACATCCAAGATTCTTCCTCTTTGCACAAACCAACAAGAGCAATCTAACTCAAGAACGAGAACAAGAGAAGGAAAATGGGTCTTCGAATAACAGTGGCGGTGGTGATGATTTGAAGAAAGATCAAACTCCTCCCTTTAACAATATGAAGTGTGTGTTCGTAACAATGGCAGGGGAAGGGAACAGGGAGTTTTGGTAAGAGGAGGAACAAGACCCACACCCTCTGTATTAGGTGTGGCCATCGTAGCTTCTTCCTCCTTGTCTTCACCAAGCAGGGATGAAGATGGGTACATATTTGTACCCATTCTAAGCTGTTTTTTCAGATTATCATGCAAGGGCAAACAGCAAGGGATGTCAAAAAGATTTTGATGGAAGTAACAGGCAAGCATTCGAGTAGAGGGAGAAAAATTGGATTTTATACTTCGAGTGCAATCCCTGAGTCACCGACGAATCCTGAGGATCAAAGGATTCCTGTTAACGCCCTCATTGATATGTGGATGGAATTGTACAAGCTAGATGAAGAACCATATGTCGTTGCCAAAATCCAGGAACTCTCTAATCGAAATTTAGCTGATCTTGTAGTCACAAGGTAAGCATTTGACTAAAACTTCTCTTCTTGTTTAATTGTCTGGATTGACATTTTATTCATGTCCTTTCTACTGGTTTGATTCTTAAAATCTTAGAGAAGTACGAAAAGAATGAATTCTGTGATTTTCCCTAACCAATCAACATATGGTTATTTGCCAGGAATGATCTAAGCGGCTGCTATAATCATCACTTTGCTATGCAGCATGATCTTCTGAGAGAGCTAACTATCCATCAAAGTGACTTGGTACCCATCGAGCAGAAAAAGAAGACTAGTTCTGGAGATACATGCTAACAATGTCCCTAACTGGTGGAGTTCATTACCGGAGGTCTGCCATCTTATCAAGCTAAGGAAAATCAGCATCACCAATTGTCATAAGTTGATTGCATTGCCTAGAGAAATCAACAAGTTGGTTAATTTAGAAATTCTAAGACTTGGTTCTTGTATAGAATTGCTTGAGTTGCCACACACAATTGGGGGCCTCAATAATCTGAACATTCTTGACATATCAGAGTGTTTAGAAATTGAAAGATTACTAGAAGAGATCGGAGGGGTGCAAAACTTGAGTATGCTACAGAAGGATGAACTTGAAAGACTTGGTTAACTTTAATGTTTCTACTTCTTTGATTAGGTTTTGCCCAATATGGCTTCAGTTCCAGATATTAAAGCAATCTCCTATGATGTCTGTGGTGTCGTTAGCATGGTTGGTTCTGGATATAAGGCAAAGGTAATTTCTTTCAATTAAAATGTGATAGAATTGTAAAAGTAATTTTTCAATTACGTTTTCTTTCTTTATTTATTATACACTTGCATAGTTACTTTTTCAAATATTTTCATGTATGACTTTTAGGTAGCTTTGACCCATGGACCTGAGAATGTCAAACCTCAAGTCAGACAGACAGATGGAAATGGCAATTTCTGCTTTGAGGTATGCTTGCTGACGAAATGATGTTTTTTCCTTGTATTGCTTAAGCTTGTGAAAAGAAGTAAATTATTTACTGCTTGTACAATTTTAATACACGACCATATATATCATGCATGCTTCTAGCTTTTGAAAATCTCTGGTTCATTACCAATAGATAGGTTGCTTCCCTTGTGCTTACTTCTAGTTATTCTTTATATATTAAAATAGGAAGAATATGGCCACTGAACAATGATGTAATTACTTTGAACTTAAACCAGTGGTGTAATTTTGAACTAATTACTTTGAACTTTAACTAATGGTGTAATTTTGTCATATCTGAGAGGATTTTAATTGCAGGATTTTGTAAACTAATGTGTTTCTCCTTCATCTTTTCCTCTTCTAATTTGATATGAACTAATTTTAAACAAATTCATGCTATGTGTAATCATATTCTTCTGCATTATTGTCCTGCAGAGTATGGCCTTATGGCTGTTGTGTTGTCTTTTTGTTTGATGATATTAATTTATAATACCCCATGTATCTGGTGCAGAAGCAAGCACGAGGAAGCTGTCTTGGCGTGGGAATTTGAAAAAGGATCTGATTTGTACAAGTTTGAGATACGAGAGTTAGAATCTCTTAGAAAATTTTAGCCACTCTGTGCATTACATTCTCTCAAACTTTAAGTGGTCATGGCATTTATCAGATATAATTAATAGAATGCTGCTGATATTATTATCCCATGAAGTAAAGCATGACCTGAGCAGCTAGGTTTTTTTTAAAAAATAGGGTACTTGTATAATAAGCCCCTCTTTTCCTTTTCGATTTTTGCTTGTGGAGTTTCCATCAAGACTCCTGCCAATTCAGTACTATTTCAGGACTCATGGAAGGTACAGCCAAACCAGATTACGTAAATTGAAACAAAGAAAACTCATAAAAAAGTAATAATAAAATGCTGATTTTAATTTCTACAGTACTCTTAAAAATTTATAAACAATAAATAATCTTGAATGTTAACTTTAAATTTAATAAAGTTACATTTATAGATAAAAGAATCGACTAATTAAAATAATTGTACTGCATAGTTTTGGAATAAAATGCGCTAAAATATGAGAAAAATAAATAAAAGGTTATCTTGATTTCGAATATGTTTTTGAAGAATCTTGTGACCAAGAAATCCATGTTGCATATCATTGTTTGACATCCAAAAGTTATGAACTGTAAAATATTAAGAAAAAAGACAATAAGTTAGTTGCATATCCACTATAAAGCATGAAATATATTAACTCGAATTAAAAAATATATAATTACCATTATTTTGATGGACAAGTTCGACGATCGTGACTCGGTTGTTTACACAATCCATAATGTATTGTGGCTCGACCTTCTCGAATGTCCATCTCATTCCGAATGCGAGTAGATTTTGGTCTTCCTTTTTTCTTTCGTCGACGGTCGGGATCGGGATATAATCTTGGAATGCTACTTTCTAGCCAATAATCTTGATGAATAATAGGATGAAACTGTGGTGCCCATGTATGAAAATGCTCTTGCATACCGTAATACTTATCAATAAATTGCCAACTATCAAGAGCCAATCTTCCACACACTCGCTAATACATGAGAACATGGAAATTTATATATTTGCCATTTACCATATGAGCATTTACCATTATCTAGCCGAACAACTTGTTTATTATGACCCCGTTGCATTCGTTCACCATGGGGTGCTCGTTATTATTTCGAAGATTCCTCTCGTTCTCGTTAAATGGAACGAGTTCATGTGCATTAGCCACGCTTAGCTTTGCATTAAGCTTTGCTAGGATATGAGGAGCATAAAGTTTTCCATCATCAATAGCTTCTTTTGAAAGTTTTCGTCTATCATTGAAGTAACTTACCGATCGATAAAATGTCGGTTGAACACAAGCAAGTGATTGGTAAATTACGAGCTCCTTTTAACACACTATTGAATACCTCGATAAATTAATCGTCATCACTCCATACCGTCTACCTCCATCATATACTAATGTCCATTTCTCCCGAGGAATTTCTTCTAGCCATTTTCGAGCCTCGAATTAGCTTTTTCAATTTCATCCATAATAGCATTAAACTTCCTCAACTCGATGTGCACTCCCGACTCCGTAAACAAGATTTTTTAAATGTTTGCTATGAAATCTATCATTAAAATTACTACATAAATGCCTTAGGCAAAAACGATGATACGCATAAGGCTCTTTCCATCTTGAACCATGTTCATTCACTGCAAGCAAGAATACCAACATGACGGTCCGATATCAAACAAATACCTCTACGATCGGTAACCTTCTCTCTAATGCAAGCTAGAAACCAACTCCAACTATCAAAGGACTCCTCCTCTACAATAGCAAATGCAAGTGGAAAAAGTTATCCATTTGCATCAACTCCCATTGCAATCAGCATCTTTCCCGTATATCTTCCATATAAATGTGTGCCATCAATGCTAATAATAGGTCGACAATGCTTAAACCCCTCAATAGATGCTGAAAAACTCCAAAAAACACGTTTAAACAAAGCTAAATTTGGATCCCGTAAAAGATCATAGCGCCACTTTACAATGGTGCCACCATTATATGTTTGAATAGCTTCCATTAATTTTGGCAACACTTGATAAGATGTATCCTAGTCACCAAACACCTTTGTGATTGCTTTCTGTTTTGCATGCCACATCTTTTTATAAGAAACACCGTAGTAAAACTTTGACTTCACTTGTTCACGTAAAGTCGTTATCGAGATAGATGGTTGTACCTTCACTTGACCTTCTATTTCTTGGGCTAGGAATTTTGCATCTAGTTGACGATGGTCTCGACTAAGACTTGGATAAACACAAGTATGGGCACCGAGCATATTGCGTAATCTCAAATAATCCATGACCCTTCCGTTTGAATGCACGAAGTCTCCATTTACACCCATTTTCCCTATGTCGTTTACATCTCAAACTCCATACCTTTTCTTTAGTTTCAAGAACTTCATATTGTCGATGTCGCTTAATAGAATACAATTTTATTGCTCTCCGTAATTCTTCCTTATTTTGAAAGGTTAACCCCTTAATCAACTCATCATTAGGATTCCATCTACAATTTTTGGGTAATGAAGTCCAATTACTTACCAAAGCGATATCTACCCAATCTATATTTTTGAAGTAAGATGTGTCCGGTTCATGTCGTGGTTGATTCTCGCTCATTCTCTAAGCCACGATCTTCTAAAAAGGTTGCTCTTGTGAATCTACCATACCATCATCACATGTCACATTCATAACAACATCTTCAACTTCATTGTATTCATCTTCTTCTTCTAATTCTTCATATTCTTCTCTTTCCTCACCCACATCAGCCTTCTTCTTCTATTAAGTTATTATTCACATGCATACCATCAAATATACCAGTACTTTCATGTTCAACCATTCACCGTATTGTAGTCATATCCACACTTGCATCACTTTCATGATCATATCTATGCACTACACCAACAATTGAAGAAGTTGGATGATTCGGAGAAGAAACATGATTTCTATCAAAATGTGGAGGAGAATTAAGTAAATTGTTATCTTCTTGAGTGGTCAACTCGCTTAAATGCATCCGAACCAATGCCTCGAATATCACGCTCACTCGTTTCAATGGGTACAGCCTTCGTCTCAACATACAACTCAATGTTACTAATTGAAGCATGAATAGAAGGAATTTCAAGCATAATGTCTACGTCACTATCATCAACAATACACAAACGAGTATACTTAACCATTGATGTCCGTACAACCGTAGGATATCTGCGTACTAACTTCACTCGAACTTGTTGTTTATCAAATCCCGTAATAACATATAGTTTATCTAGTAACTCATAATATTTGATCATTCGAGTCACCTTAATAGCCTTTCTTGGTGGATTATCATAACATGGTCCTTCTTCTCCATCAATAATATGTCCATTCCAAGTAGCAAAATATAGGTATATCTCTCGTCGACCATAACCAATATGAAAAAATAAAATTTAATGTTATATTAAATTTAACAAAAATATAAAATATAAAACTTATATAATTTGTAGATATTATATGGTAATTTATTCTCTAAATTTGTATGTCACATCTTACTAAAATATAAATATACATTCATATTAAATTATTTCAATCATTTTCCTGATCAAACAAGAAGAGATAATTTTAGATGTCGTGGGTCTCAAAATTGATTATCATGCACATATCTTCAAATTGACATTTGCCTATGGGCATGACATTTAAGATGCAAATGTTGGACGTCTAGAAATAACAAAATCTGCGATAATAACTGCCTTTGGTCCGTAATTGAAGACGGTTCAACTCGAAATTGTGAAACTGGATCAAATTGGAGGGGGCATAAATCCATAGAAAATTGCTTCTTCAGAAGCACAAAGGCAATTTGCTTACTCAGGGATTCACATGCAAGAAGTTAATCTAGCATTGTTAGAGAAAGCTGAAGAGCTCAGCCTTGGCCAACTTTGACGTTGTCCATGAGACAACAACTAAAAATTAAGGGCCACAGCTGTGGCCAGAAACCACAATACCTAGTGAAGCTATAGCCATGCATCCAGAGATCAGTAAAACTTAATTTGCTTCATCCACATCCTGTCTAAATGCTAATAAAAAATCGCTTTTATCAACACAAAGGGACATCATTTCAAGAAACAAAGGCAACTTTATGGCCAGGAGGCAAAGTAAGCTAGAGTATATTACAAGCAAACAAATCAGAGACAGTCATTTTTAATGAAAGCAATCGATCCCACAAGATTTGTATATTACTATCGATTCCTTAATTGAACATATACATATATTACAAGGAAATCGTTTGTACAACAGCATGGTTTTTAAAATGGGTGTCGGGTGGGTATGGGTATGGGCATAGGTTCGGGTATGGGTGTAACTAAATGGGTGAGGTCGGTGAATCACAGATCAAAGATTGAACAACCACCAGGTTTAAGGATTTGATGGGATCCACAAAGTATTGGTCGGTGAATCCCTGCTTCTTCTTCTATGAAAATTCATACAAAACCGAGATTGGATGGAACTGAAAAAGCGAACAAAGAACTCTATCGAGGATGCCTAATCTGAAGTTCTGAACTGAAATTCCTTTGCTCAAGCCACAAACTTGGAAATCCTTGGACTCCACACTTTGGGGCTGGGCTAATTTAAAAGCAGGAAAGAGACTGAAGTTAGCTACTTTGCCTGGTGACTCCCTCAAGAGCAGAACAGACCTGTTCTTCCTGCAATTCTTTGGCAACTCTTAGATGGGTATTAGACTTTTAGCGAGTGGGACTGTTGCTGAATCAGAAATAAAAGAAGAAGAAGAAGAAATAAACTTGGGTTTTATGATGGGAAGGTGAGAGTGTTAAGGGAAGATGAAGAAGCAGCGGCAGGGAATAATCATGCTGCTGTGGGGTATCCACCCTATACCCGTTTAGAAGCCATACCATTGTACAAACAAGACTGACTGCATTCTTCTTTTAATTCTCATAAGAATGCAGTCGTTTTGTGCAATTTTATAATCCAAATGAAGCGAAGAAGAATCAGTAAATCTCGTTAACCTACGTTGGAGAATTAAAAAAAAATTCTAATCACAATTAAATAAATAAAAACAAGAGAATTTAGAAAATTACCTGAATTGATAATATAAAGATGCTAGAGAATTTTTCTAGTAATCGTGTTTTAGAATTGTGAAAGTAATTGAATTTTAAGAAATTAGGCAAAGACAATAAAAGAAAGACAAAGAGTGTAATTAACTGTTTCTTTTATGTTTCTAATTTTTTTAAATTATTATATTCAATATATATTATAAAACTTAATTAGAAAAAAAATGACATGGATGCTTACATGGTAAAATTACCTTTTTTTATAAATAAGTTTAAAACTACCCTATTTTAGAAAATAAGATTAAAAAGTATACTGTCTAGGGAAAAACTCCTCATTTATATGCATCAAATGTCAGTTTTTATTTTTTTTAAAAAAAATCATTTTTTTCTAAAATAATGTCTTAAAATTAAAAATCAATCTTCTGCTTCTTGCCACCTTCTCTACGATCAACCCATTCTAACTACCTTCTCTCTGGATTCTTCTTTTTTTTTCCTTCTTTTTTGCTTTCCTTTTCTCTCTAACTTCCTGCGTCTCATTACTTTCTCTGTTCCTCCTCCTACTGGAAACTTCAACTTTAATGGCCTCGATTTCAGCTGTTGGAATTCTACTCCAGTCGCCGACGTCATCCATTGGACGAGCTTCAATATCCACAGTATATCGTCGTCTTTCTGTGTATTTATCCTTCTAATTTTACTTCAATTTAAAATGCAAGATAAAATTGTTGTTTCATGGATGTCGCAAACCGATTGCAACTCTATCTTTTTATCAACCGGGTAAATTATCCTATTTAAATGAAAAATCTAATTGTATAGAAGTTTCTCCACTTAGAATTTCGATGGAAATTTGAAAAATCAGCAAACTTAGTTATTGATTGTCGTCACCAGTTGGTTGTCTTTGTAATTAATTGATTCTGATATGCACTAGCTTTGGTTCCGGTTTCCTATTAATGGACTGGTTGTTATTGTTAGTTATATGTGGATTTTGTTTGTGATTGAGTTAATTTTAGTGTTGAATTGTTAATTTACTATGGGCTTGTGTTTATAGTGGAATTAATTCAGTCTTATCAGTCACTTGATTATGGATGATTAGTGTTTGTTTAGCGATTGAATGAATAAGGTTAAATTGGTTATTGATATTGTCTATGATTGAGTTGCTTTAGTGTTAAATTGGTGTTTAAGGTAGGGATTGATTGTTTTAGTGATTATTTGAAATAGATTTAGTTGAGGACATTCTGAAATAGAAAGAAAGATAGTTTCTGATCAAGTTTCAAGTATATGTGCAAATAGAGGAAATGCCTAGCAACATGTTTAACTGTCAGCAATGCAAAGGAGGTGTCTTTAAAGACATGGAGTGAGAAGGTTAGTATTGGATATTTGTATGTGGGGGCAGAGGAGAGTGAAAAGGAAGGTTTAATTGTATTTGTTAACATTACTAGAAGATGGAGGGGATTAAAATGGTAATATTGAGAAATTCAAAATTATATTCACTTACTTATCTTTGAATACAAATATTGTCAGGGAAATATGTTTTACATTCTGCTCAACATCTGCAATTTTCTTCCCATTGTTTAAGTTATTCAATGACTACAAATGGAGAGACATATCAATTAATCATAGCTATTTCTACCTATCTATCTATAATGCTTTGAATAATTTGGTAAGTGCTCTGCTAAATAAACCAGAACACAATTTTAACTTGGCGTAGAAAAAAGAGAGAGAGAGAGAGTCAATTACAACCATAGTAAATTGAAATCATAACAGAAGAGCATGCATGTGGAAGGATTTATGTAGTAGCATGTAGTTGTATTCGTCAAGAATTTCTTATCATACCAAATTGTCAATTAATTGACAACCTTCCATCCATACTCGTCCCTCTGGAAATGTGGTAAAAAGTAAATAAATAAATGAATGAAGTGTCAATTTCTTAAAGTTACTGCTGAATTTGTCAATATACTTATGATTTACGTAAAAATATGATGTTTAGTTTATTCATACTACTATATTTTATTAAATAATTAATTTATCTTTTGAATTCTTAAAATTAGGAAATATATATATATATATATATATATATATAATTTATTTTTGAATTCTTAAATAGTCATGTTGTCAGGATAAAGTTTTTTTTTTCGACATGTTTAACATAGTTGAAGTCTTGAAGACTTGAAAAGGATGAACAAAGAAAATCAGCTTCAAGATTTGCACTTGCTACGCTAATTTTCTCATAATTCTCTAGTATTTAGAGGGAAGAAAATTAGAAATCTTCTATACTGATGATAAGTTCTTTTCACTTCGCCAATGGTTGTAACTCTACTGGATACATGGACAAGCCCTTTCGGCATGAGAGTGAGAATAGCATTAGAAGAGGATGGTGCCAAGTATGAGTATATTGAACAGGACTTGAGGAACAAGAGTCCTCTGCTTCTTCAAATGAATTCGGTTTACAAGAAGGTCTCAGTTCTAATTCACAATGGGAAACCAATCCATAAGTCTCGTATTGTTGTTGAGTATATTGATGAGATGTGGAATGACAAGTCTCATTTGATGTCTTTTGATCCTTACGAGAGAGCTTAATCCAAGTTCTGGGCAAATTTTATTGACAAGAAGGTATGTGTCTAATTTGCATTCTAAATACCTTGCCTATGTCTTCTCCTTTTACCTCGCCTTGCTGAAAAGGAATCAATGTAAATTTTGACTACAGATCAGTTTCTTTCTTATCCAAATTCAGTATCCAACTACTAATTAGTTGGCTAATTACTTCACTTTACAATGGTGGGCAATTTATCTGTAGGTGTACAGTGCTGAGAGGAAGACATGGACAGAAAAAAGAGAAGAGAAGGAGGCAGCCAAGAAAGATTTCATTGAGTCCTTGAAGTTGTTGGGAATGAGAGCTATGAGACAAGCCTTATTTTGAAGGTGACAAACTCGGTTATTTGGATGTTGCTCTTATCCATTTCTATTGCTGGTTTATTGGATATGAGACATTTGGCAATTTTATCATAGAGGAGTGTCCCAAGTTGATTGCTTGGTGTAAACCGTACATGCAGAAATAAAGTGTATCCAAATCTCTTGTAGATCCACAAAAGGTCTGCAACTTCATGGAGGAGCTGAGAAAGAAGTTTGGGCTTGAATAGATATATGGAACTTGGAAGGATACGTGCATCCATATGCACGGTAGTTTTTTGGTACTTTGGTTTCTGTTTTTCTGTTTAGTATAGATTCTACTCAAATGATATTGTGGAAATAAAAAAAAGCAGTCTATTCTTTAGGAAGTAATCTCTTTCGATCAGAATTTGTTCTATATGATAACCAATAAACATTCTATATATACAGAACCACTGATTGAATTACAATTATTCAGGCATTATTTGTCCAAGCTTCTGTCAGTAGAACGAACAAAACAATTAAATATTCAAACTATTAATTAGCAGAAAAGTAAAAGATCAGATTAGTAGTAAATTTTCAACTTTCACTGCTGCTCCAACAATATGCGTACATTATGTACATCTCGCCACAACACGCGAATGGCTAATGCCAAACAATTGCTCCAACAGTGCAGGCACATCTGGTCAAAATACAAATGCCAATTGGTGGCAAATAAATAGAGATTGACACTGTCACTCATTCCCATGCACATAGGATGCTTATCTTTGCTATGTACTTGAAAAATTAGTGAAAAAAAAAAAAAAAAAAAACTTGTTGATAATAATAATAATAATAGATGCTAAAACTTCAATTTCTTCATTGCTTTTAAAATATTGCAAACAATCAGTTATTTTGAATGTTAACTTCAATTTTTAAAAGTTACATAGTAGATAAGAAAATTAACAAACAGGAATAATTGTACTATATAGTCTTTGAACAAAACGCACTGAAGTAGGGAAAAAAATAATCAAAAGTTCCTCTTGCTTCCAAATCTATTTATGAAGAATTTTTTGTAATTGAGAAATTCACTTTACGGATCACTATTTTACATCTAAATCTATATATATATATATATATATATAAACAACAAATTAGATACATATCCATATAATTATCATTATTTTGACGAATAAGTTCAACAATCATGATCTGATTGTTTATATAATTCATGATGTTTTGTGGCTTGGCCTTTTATAATGTTCATTTCATTTCGAATGCGAATAGATTTTAACTTTTTATATTATTTTTTTCTTTCACCCATGGTCAAGATCGGTATATAATCTCAGAATGTCATGTTCTGACTAATAATTTTCGTAAATAATAAGATAAAACTGCAGCGCCTATGTACGAAAATGCTATTCATACTGTACTAGATTTAGGGATTTCCCCATGTACCCTACTTTCCTAGCGACAACATTGTTGTTGAAATTTTCACTTTGGTTAGGCGTAAAGGCATTAGTAGCCAAATAATGCTTTTGATGCGGCAACTAGCATTGACTTGTGGTTTTCTTGATAAACGACAGATTTTGAGAGTAAGATACATGTGCAGTATGTGATGTGGCAATTTTAGAGAGTTGAAACTGTGAATTTCTTACGAGCAGAAATACACTAGCCTAAAGCATAATTAGTTCAATTCCTACCCTTATAACACAGATAGAAAAATTTCCAATAATCACCTGTGGAAAGATTGAAAAGCATAGTCTAAGGTGTTTGTAGAGCATAGCTAATGAAGTTAATGACACTCAAACTTTTGAGCTGAAATAATGTTTATTGGCTTAAAACTTCTAATGGTTTACGTGTAAGAGTTTTGCGTCTGGATAATTACAAAGAACCCAAAAAGATGTGGATTTTTACTGTTCTTAAACTATTCACACTTACGTAACACTATTTACTTGATGGTGTTTTTGTGATTCTAAGTCAATGACATTTTTGTTATTTTAAGTGTTTTCTCATATATTTATTCCACCCACAGCACCATTCACCTCCTTTTTTGCTGCACATTTTTTTTTTTTTTAATTTTGATGTTTTTTCCAGACATTTTATAAGTAAATTTTTACTTATGTTTTTCTTTCGTCCCTTATTTTTATAACAATTTTTATTTCGATCCACAACTTTATTTGTATTGTAATTTGATCCTAATTGCTAAGCAAACAGAGAAACGATGAAAGAGAGATTTATGTGCGAATTTTTTAATAATTTTTTAGAATATTGTTATGTGCTCTTTTAAAATAATAATTATAATTTATTTGATGAATTATTATAATTTTTAAATGATAGTAGCATGGTATATATATATATATATATATATATATATATATATATATATATATATATAAAATTAAAAGTGTTTTTTAGATAATTTATCTCAGATTTTTTTTTGAAAAAGAAAATATAAAAAGTTTTTAGTCAATAATCCATGGATTTTTGAATTTTCTTAAAAGTTTTTAGTTGAGAATTCGGATGTAGAAGAATAAATGATGTTCTTTTTAATAGAAAATTTATAAAAAAATAATGAATAATTAGTTAAATAAATATTTAAAAAAATAATAATTTTGTTTTTATCTTTGATTTGATATAATTTAGTAGACTTATAATATAATAGGTATCTTGAAATTGAAATTATTTTTTAAAATAATTTTATATGTTACGTCCGATTTGTTACAGAGAACAAGTAAAAAACTAATAATTCTTTATCAATAAAATTGGACCAAAGAAGAAAACAAAAACTTGCTAACTACCTCCACTAAAAACTACATACCAATCAAATTGCGAACACAATTATTTCTTAATCGTATGTCGAAGTCTTAACTCCTATCTATCTAAGTTGTAAATTACCGTTGATTATGCCTCCCTCTTTCAGTTCTCTGCCTACAAATATATTTTAAACGAGCAACAAAACATATTCTTATAATGTGTCTTAGTCGTTGGTGTCAGCGTCATATTCTTGCATAAGTTTGAATCCCCAATCTTCTATATATCTTTATTGCTACATACAGAAAGACCTTGGTTGGTCAATAATTCAAACTATGATGATAACATTAATTCGTCTGCTGCTAGCTGTATATTGTATTGATTTTAGTAGTATAAAATTCAGTTTACGTGCCCCCTGAAGTTACGATTTTGTAATTGTTTATGCAAGACAAATTGCGTTATGGTGTAAATTAGATAAGATCCAGCATTACAGACGTCTAAATCGGAAAATTCTTTATTTATTCTCTTAAAGGCGAATGAAAAGATACATTCAGATATGCATTAAAGCTCTGATCTTGCTGTTCAACATTCTAGAGTTGCGAACGTCGTGTTTTATTGATATTAAAAGAAAACAAGATATCTAGTATACTGCTTCTATAACAAACAGGACCACTACTAGATTTTGGGGTTAAATCATAACCATTTATTTACACACTGTGATTTGTGTATAACATTAAAAAAAAGACACGGAGGAATATATTTCGTGATGAATCATGATGAACCGTCTAGGCAATGGAGGTGAAGTTGAAGTTTGCGCATGTAGTTTGCCTGCCAAAGAGCAGAGAGCTAAACCCAAGTCTTGATGCGGCCAAATCAAACTGAAAAAGATTGTCCTCCAATTGGTGCCCTCCAATTACTATTGAAGTCGTGGGGTTTGAACCGCCATTAACAAATCCAAGACACAGCACGTTATCGCTAACTTGCACCATCGAATTTGCACCAAATATCCTCCAGATTACATTCTCATTCTGCAAAACAAGAGAGATTGTTGGCACAGCAGCCCCCAAACGTGTGCTACCAATGTTGTCTCTGCTAAAGCACGCATCAAAAGGTGCAACAGAAGCCACCCTAGTGATGTTCCTAGCTGCAGACTCATTGATAAATGCCTTGGTCACAGCATTGAAAATAGAGCTCTCCAAAACAGTGTATGGGTTCACCGTGCTAATTTTTGTGCCCCCTTTGCCTTGCCTGTCAATAGACAACAATGTTGCATTCAATGGAACATCTTTGTCACTAATCTTGATAGATTTCACACCGATGAAATATTCGGCAGAAGGCTCGCCTTGGCTAAAAGCTGCAGCTGTGCTTACTGGGTTGATGAAGAGTGGTGTGTAGGTCAGTGATTGAGATGTCAATTGAACGTTGAGAAGGAAGTTGTAAGGACCATCACCAAAGATTACAACACCCTTTGCGGGTGCTGGAGATGTCAAGCAAATTGCAAATTTTCTGTTAAAGCTGAAGGCAGAAGCGAATTGTGAAGGAAATGCAATTCTAGTTCTGCCAAGTCCAGCCATTCCAACAACACCACTGGCAAGACCCCGAAGCAGAAACGTTGGAGCACAGGAGAATAGGAACCGTGGCACGGACACTTCCCTGCCAGGGTTTGACCCGTTGGTCGAATTGACAGACACGACATCTGTTGCTAGTTCACCACCTGTGGCAGTGTGAGTCACTGTATTGTCAGGCGTGACACCACAAGTATTATTGTTGCAACCTGGCCTAGGCCCTGAGAAGCAATCACCACAGCCATCAGCTCTAGCCAATGAGCAAAGGGCCGAGCCACAACGTGCTGGACGGTATGTAGTTGACACGTAATTTTGGTCACAATCAACCCATAGGTATTGACCACCAAGATCAACAACTAGGTTAATGGGCACTTGAGGGGTCCTTTGTTTGAT